TTCCCCAGCGCCTCACTGCAGCCTCGCGAGGCTGGGAGTCTGGGCTCAGCGCAGCGGTGGCTGGTGCGGGTGTGCGTGGGGCCAGGCCATGGTGTTTGCCGTGGCGTTTGGCTGGAGTGGGGCTGTTATTGCCCAAAAGTTTTCTGTCTTGCTAGGCTGCTCTCTTCTTCTTTTCCCTTTGTCTAGATAGAAAGGCCTTTGTGGGTCTTTTTATTTGTATTATGGCTAAATATACATTATGAAATTTCCCATTTTTCATTATGGTAAAATATATGCAAAATTTACCATTTTAGCCATGTAAAAGTGTACAGTTTATGGCACTAAGTACATTCACATTGTCGTGCAACCATCACCACCATCCACATCATGAACTTTTTCCTCTTACCCAACTGAAATTCTTGCAACTGTTAAACGCTAACTCCCCCTTCTCCCCCCAGCACCTGGCAACTACCATTCCACTGTCTCTGTGAATTTGCCTACTCTAGGAACCTCGTAGAAGTGGACTCATACAATATTTATCCTTTAGTGACTGGTTTATTTCAGAACCTCTTCAAAGTTCATCCATGTTGCAGCATGTGTCAGGATTTCTTTCCTTTTTAAGGCTGAGTAATAGTCCATTATACGGATAGACCACATCTTGTTTATCCAATCATCCATCGATGGACGCTTGTGTTGCTTCCACCTTTCGGCTACCACAAATAATACTATGGACATGGGTGTGTAAGTATCTGTTTCAAGTCTTTGCTCTCAATTCTTTTGGGTTTATACCCAGAAGTGGACTTGCTAGATCATACGGAATTCTATGTTTTTTTGAGGAACCACCATACCATTTTCCACAGCAGCCGCACCATTTTACATTCCTATCATCACTGCACACGAGTTCCGATATATATATATATATACTATGGTACATATATATATATATATATATATATATATGGCAAAAAGAAAACCAGAGAACTCACACCTTGTCACTCTTTGGGTCCCAAGGTCTCTAGCTGCTCTGCCTTCTTCACTTTGCCTTTCAGAGTCCTATGTTTGTTTTATGTATAATGTGCAGCGTTCTTAGTTGTACTTAGTGGGAGGAATAGGGAAACGTATGTCCACTTCACATTCCTGGATGTGGAACCCTGGCTGAAGTCTTTTTTAACATACAGGTTCCCTTTACCATCTCTTGTTTTTTTTTTTTGAAATTGATTTATTGAAGAAACCAGGATGTTTATCCCACAGAACCTTCCACAGAATGGATTTTGCAGATTGCATTCCCTGTGGTGTCATTTAATGTGTTCCTCTGTGCCCTGTACGTCCCAGGGAATTGGGAGGTGCAGTTAGAGGCCTGATCAGACTCAGACGCAAGTTTTGGCAGGTCTACTTCACAGGTGGTGCTGTGAACTTCTATCACGAGACACAACGATTCTTTGTCTTTCTTGGTATGAATTATATCAACTCCTTCAATAGTTACTAATCAGTTTTCTTTTTCTCTAGTACCATTATGAACTCATGGATTTAAAGATACTTTCAATCCATTGCTATTATTATTCTTACTGATGCTCACCCCATGTCTAGTTAGCAGGGGCTTCTTTAAATCCACCTGCCATGAGACCAGCTGTCCCCCATCCCCCAAGCCTGGTATGAAAAGATGCTCATGACTGGTCTTGGACAAATTCTGCCCTGAACCTGCAATCAGCCCTTCTCCAAGGAGCCCTGGTTCACATTGTGGTCCTAGGGTTGGTCACTGTTTTTAGGCCTGGAAGTGAACAAGTTGGGAAATAAATGTGTTTAAGATAAAATATATCACGAGTCCAAACTGGTAGCTCCATATCAAATCCAGAACTAAAGGGTTTTAATTTAACCCCTTGATTTTAAAAATGCATCTTTCCTTCTTCCATGTCAAAAACCTGGTTCCCAACAATATCAACATAAACACTCATTTACTGTCTCTGTCAATAAATATACGACCGTCTCAGAATAACAGTACACTCTCAAAAAACAATACACTTCCACAATTACTAAAAATAGTTTTTATTAATCATTTATTGTCACTTTTTTCTTCTTATGACACATCCCACTAAGAATGCACAATGAAATTTTGTATTTTAAAGTTGTTTGAAATAATTCCTTTCTGTATTTATGCTACCAACTTGATATATGGTTAGGTTCATTTAATTTTGCTTTCAGTTTTTAGGAATTAACAAATTTTAATAATTACTAGGAATTAACAAATTTTAATAATAATTTAACCATGTATATATATTCACATGGTTCTAAAGCCAACTATATAATGCAAATGATACTGGACAAGTTTATTATCCAATTCTGTCCCCTATGTCATGCCCTCTCCCTACTATAGGTAACAACTATAAAAAAGTGTTTTTTTGCCTATAGTTAGCAATATGGTATTGTGCACTTGAAATTTTGTTAAGAGGATAGATCTTAAGTTCTTACCACATGCACACACAAGAAAAAAAAAAGGAAAGGAAAAAAGGGCACAGGGAAACCAGTTTTTGAAGGTGATGGATATGTCTACTGTCTCGATTATGGCAATGCTATCATTGGTGTATGCATATGTCCAACCTCACCAAATTGTACACATTAAACAGGAGGTTTTTTTGTATATCAACTATGCCTCAATGAAGCTGTTAAAATTTTCTCTTATAACCTGAAGATCACTCTTTAGTAGTATACAGAGATATTCTCAATTCCTTTTTACAGCTACATAGTATTCCACTGTGTGGATGTACCATAGTGTATACAAACAATTCCCTATTGATGGAAATCAAATTATCTCTGGAGTTTTACACTGAGAAACTGGGTCATGTGATTAAACAGTTCCCTGTGGTTTTTCCCCTCATTCATGTTACCTTTAGATTTTGTGCACCTGCTCTCAGCAGCCGTCTTCCATGTGAGGGGCTGGCTCTATTTAAGTATACTACCTAGAGCTAATTCGTTCCTAGGTAGCCAATATCCCTGACAAGGTATTAACTAGAATCTTAATTCCAAAGTTACCTGAAAAACAATGTTCCTGGGTGGGGGATTGGGGGGATAGGGAGTTATTGTTTCATAGGTACAGAGTTTCAGTTTGGGAAGATGAAAAAGTTCCAGAGGTGAATGGTGGGGATGGTTTTACAATGTGAAGTACCTAAAGCCACTGAATTGTACACTTAAAATGGTTAAAATGGTAAACTTTATGCTATGTATATTTTACCTCAATTAAAAAAAAAAAGAATGAGTAGGATCTATGGGAAAAATCCCCAAATTTACTAAAAAAAATAGCAACACAAAATTTTCCCAAGAAACTGCAACATTAATGTGTAACTTCATATAGAAATTAAAATTTTATACATGAACTAAATGAGGTTTCTAATTGATACAAATGTGTTTCTCTGCGGGGTCCATAGTGGATGTCCCAACTTGGAGAGGGTTCCTTTCTCCACTGTTTGTAATAAATGAGGGCTGGGCACCTTCCAAACAACCTTATCTGACATGGACTCTTTCTAGACTTTTGTTTATCTTACTACCTGGTGACTTGAATTTTATGGCTTCTAAATGAGGCATTTATGACCAGAAAATCCAGCTCAGCGACAGACTCTTATGATCACCCTGATGACGTTAGAGTTGAAGCATTAATATATTACCCTGGGCTGGGATTTCAGAGACCCAGAGCGAACCTGGGCCGAGACTTTCCTTAAGCCCTGGGATGGTCTAATGAGTGGGCTGTAGACTCTGGTGAGTTGCTACCATGCTTCACCACCTCTTCTTCAAGACCTCTTCTTACGAGTGATAAATAGAGACTGTTTCAGACACCACAAGAGCCTTGGCTACTCTGAGCTCAAGGGGTACACAGCATCATAAGGTTTCTTTAATTGGTCATGTAAAAAGATAGGCTTTACAGCCCTTCAAGTAGAAAAACCAGCTATTTCATTTCTAGTAGAAAATTTCCTCTTCTTCCGTCACAGGAACTACATGGGGCTGAGTGACAATGAACTGACCTATCTGCTGGGGCCACTGGGCACACCAGAAGCAGGACCAGCACCTGTAATCTGAGCCATCGGTGACCCAGCTCAGGGTTTGTGGCGATATGGGGCCCAAGGGGTGTATGCACACGTGGCCGCCCGTGCATTGCTGGGATGAATGACCACCTTCTCCCACTAGGGGATCCCCTGTCCCACATTCCTCTCAGAAGGGAGATGACAGAGATGGAAGCCTTGCTATAGCTGAAGAGGAGAAGCCAGAGGCAATACGACATCTACATGTGCTTGGCATTGACTGGTACAATTCCGAGCCAGACGGCGGCACAATGAGGCACTCGTCCACCCTCTGGAAGGAATGACTCCTAGACCCCTCTGCCTTTTGAAATCTGTATCATGGAACTTCCACGAAAGCAGAGCAACTGGTTTTATGATTCCCCATGTACCCAAACTCAGCTTCAACAATTGCCAGCTTTTTGTCAGTCTTGTTTTATCTACCCACCCTCTTTCTTTCCCCTCAAGTATTTTAAAGAAAATATCAGACACCATGTGATTTCACTCCAAAGATCCCAGCATCCCGCTCCTCTTATCACTGCGAAAGAATAATGCCCAGTCTCCACTCCCAGAAGGTCAGCAAGGTTATTTTAATACAGATGTGATACAGAATGTTTAATTACAGCAGGGCAGTGATCCCAGTTAAATAAAATTAAAAACCTTTATTTTCCCAAATATAAAATTACTAAATTAATGTCTTCAAAGAAAATATAACATGGTGAAAGCTTTAAATTATACCACCATTCACCACAGGATTTATGATTTACCAATGACATACTCCACCATTTTGGCAAAAGGACGAAATTTTTAAACAGTTTATAAACCTAATATAGCAAAGACTGTATACATCTCCATATTGCACTTTTTTATGTACAAGAATAAAACAGTAAAGTGTATTGCATATACTAAGGACACAAATTTGTCACAATTAAACTTAACGCAGAAGCTGATGTATTAAAAATGTAGAAATGTAATAATACATGTATGTACAGAATGCCGAGACTGTATTAACAAACTATATGTACATAACAATATACTGTACTACTTTTAACTTTTTAGCATAGTTGTGTTTATTAATACAGGCCTTTGGTGCTAAACGGCTTGACTAGTTTTAAGCTCACATAATTTCTTAAGCGTTCGTATTTTTTAAATGCAAGGAAATGAGTATAAAAGCACTAAATCTCCTGGTTCACCGGTACAAAAATTACAATGGTCAGTTCCTTTAGGTCATCAAAAACTAGTCACAAAAATAGTTCTTGTATGCAACCTGAATGTGCCACAGGAAAAAAAATATTTTCAAGATTTTCCAGCTCAGCCTAGAGGCAAAATGTGGCCTCTCAGGCCTCAATTTCAGTGCTGCTGTCCCTGCTGTGTACATTCCAGAACACTTTTTCTTTAGGCCATTTATTTTAATACTACTCTGTAAAGAAGAATAAAATTTAACTCCAGCTTAAGAATGTCTACCACACACCTCTGTTAAGACACAAAGAAAAGTTTCAATATTGCCAGTTAGATTTAAAAAAATATGTGCACCCTCTTACGACTCCCATAGAAAAATCTGCTAAGAAAAAACACAGTTCTCTCTCTCCTTTCTCTCTTATTCCTCTTGGCTTCTCCCTGTGCTCGGTCTCCCCAGTGATTAGCTTTGGAAATCATCCTGAGTTTGCAAACAAGAAAGCGAGTCCCCCATGTGGTCCATGAGGCGAGGTCACACCACCGAGGACGAGCTGGTCATTCCGTGAACCATTGTGCTTGTTGGGGTTCCGCTGATGGCATTGAAGATGTGAAGGGAATTTGGTAAAACGCTTGCCTTCTCCTCCAGGGGGCAGATCTTGAGGCACAGAAACACAACATTACCAAAGCATAAGGCCCCAGGCAGACATTTCACAAAGCGGTGTGTTTACTGTCACACACAAATTGTCATCCAACAGTCACTCCGTTACTGCGAGTAATGGTACGCCCTGATAGCCTGGCTTTGGTGGTGGACAGAGGGAGACTTTCGGCTTATCTAGTGACCATTTTCAGATCAGGATTGTAAGGAGAAAGTCAACAACCGCACGTTTGGTTTCCTCTACAAGTTAGTGAATGAAGAGCCTTCTAGACTCACCAGATCATAGGCAACTTGAGGTCTATCTCACACATGCTTGACTGGAGCACAGCCTAGCCTTGTTCCTTGAAAAAGCCTTTTAAAAAGAATTTGGAGTATCCGTGTTTCTCTCCTGGCTCTTTTTCTCAGGGTCTTACAGATTTCATCTTGGGAGGGAGAGGGCAGCTACCCCTCTGACCCTCAGTAAGTATCTTTCCATCCCCCTTGTGCCCGGAAGGGATCTGAGTGTAGTCTTCACCTCCAGCCAGGTGGACACTGAGAGCACACGTGCAGAGGCCCCTGGGAACCCCAAACGCAAGCCTATCCCCGTCACAACCCTTTTTGCTTATGGGTTCAGGGGGCTCAATCTTCACAGTTGTTGACATAATGGAAGTTTAAGGTACAGTCAAGAGCAAAGCACTGCATTAAACGTCTGCACAATCTGGGAGCTTGATAGCCTCAGCCCACCATTTCTTCCTACTTTCATCTTTCCTAGTGCCAAATGTTGGCACCCACCGATCAAGCTCTCCATTCTATAGGAATCTGGAGGCTCCATGGAAAAGACCTCAAGTTTTCTCCAAAAATTTGTTCCCATGAAACCCTTCCTTTCTGCTTAATTATTCACATGCTCATTTCTCTAATCATTAGAATTTCTTCTACTTTTTAAAATGTCCATAAGAGGTTGCTTTCCTCTGCACTGTCATTATGCCAATGTCTGCAGATGCTCAAACTCAGTAATAACTTTATGTGAGTTAGTTTATCAGAAAAATAAAATTAAAAAATGATATTACCATCCCATCTGAATGTGTCAGCATGGAGGGGGAAAAAAAGCAAGTGCATTAAACCTCACATATTGAAGTTCGTTTCCTGCAATGGAAACGTCCTACCTAAATCATCACATGACAGGACAACTAACACAAACAGCTCTGTTTCCACTTTGCAAGACAAACAGGCAATGGTGTACGGAATAGACAAAACCAGTTACGTGTTGTCAAGGTGCTAACATTAACCATAAAGACTACGACAGTGACTCAGACGAAGTTCCTGTGGTCAGTGGAGAAGGGACTCCTCACAAAACAACAATGTAGATGTCGCTTCACTTGGTACCCTGGTCACCTCCGATGACTACTGGGCCCACATACAGAACCCTAGTGAAGAAATTCTTACAGGAAAGAGGGAATACAATTGGGAAGATGCCCGTAATGACAAGAAACATAGACACAGCCATGAAGAATCCACTGGGGCCCCCAGGTCAGCTGTAAACAGCCAAAACTGGAATAGCCCTATAGTTTTAAATGGCAAAAGACATTTAATGCAACAGATAATTCCTGAAACCAGGTTGGTAAGCCCTGTTCTTTCAAAGAATTGAATGAATAAAGAAAGTTGTAAGAGCAGTATGGACATTTTTGTGGGTGTGTGTTTTTTTCAGCTAGATCAGGTGGGAAGAGACCAAGCTCATGAAACATGGCCACCCCTAAGAGCAATGATGAGGTGGCTGCTGCTCTCCCAGGGTTGCTTTAAATAATGACACACAGGCAATCTGTTAGCTGTTCCCCAGATAACCTGGGGCTAGAGAGTAGCAGGAACGTGGATGGCTACATTTTTCTTCAGGGATCAAAATTCTGGAAGGATAGCAGAAGGCTTAGGTCATCACAGGGTGTACTTGAGACCCCAACTAATCTTCACTGCCTAAACAAGAACTCCAAGGTGTCAGAGCCAGGTGGCACTTACCTGCTCGTGCATGATTTCAGAAAGCTCTTTTGCCATTTCCCTGTAGTTGGCTTTCATTTCTTCCTGATACTCTAACTGGTCTTCTTTAATTAGACGTTCATTTACCACTAAGGCCTGGCCGCAAGCTTCCACAAATTGCCTGGAATGGTGTGGGAGGGGAATTAAAAGCACGTGGAGGACAAAGAATGAGTCTAACCAGTGTCATCTCTTTCCAGAGCGAGCACAGAAATTATCAATATGTGAAGAGAAGAAGACATTTTCAGTGTGCTTTACCTGAAAACTTCCTTAAGCAACTTCACTTTATTGTCAGGATATCTTTTTGTGTTTGTGTCATCTAAAAAAGCTCGGGCATATGCTAGTGGACCAGCATTGACCTAGGTAAAGAGCAGAGATTTGAAATTATGTTAGGAAGAAAATTACCATTACGATTTCTTTGGTTTCAGTTGGCATGCACTAAGAAAGCCGTCAGAGTGAGTTAGTCATGACCCAGCCTTCCAGGAACTTACAACCCAAAAGGCAACCATAAAGCACACACTGTTAAGGGTCACTTGAGTCCATCACCCAAGCCACCCTCAGGGCACTGTGATGATGGCTCATTTTATGTAAGAAGAAACCAATGCTTGGAAAACGTAGGAGCCCATTCAAGTTTGAACAGCCAGTAAGCAAAACGCCAGAGATCCCAGCCCAAGTCTTCCAACTCCATGTCAAGGATTCTTACCACCAAGGTATTTGGCCACTGGAATTTGTGCCCCACTACAATGAACAGGTCTGTCTGGTGAATATAAAAGTTAGTATATATGCCAGTTTTTAAAAACCAGCTGTTCACTTCACTGAATTGTGTAGCCAGCCACGGGCGAACTGATTTGCCATCCTCAGATGAAGTAACATTTGCAGGTGTGCTGAGAGCCAGAGATTAGGAGCGTTTAGCAATGTGGAGAGCGAACCAGAACCCTGCATTGCTCTCTCTGTTAGTTAAGAAGAGTCCTTTGAAGTCGGGTAAGTCAGGAAATAGAGGAACACAGAGAGAAAGGAGGTTGGACATATTGGGGTGGGAAGGAGGATGTTCTGGGCATCTGAGACAGCTTGGGAAAAGACTCAATCATGTGATCACTGCAAAATCTTTCCTGGGAAGTCTGGTGGCTTGGAATGCAGGGGATTTGGGAGAGCTGTCTCTCCATGGTTCTGATTCATGGTGTGCAGGATTTGTATAGCATAGCAGGAGCACTGAGCCACGAGAACTCTCACCGTGAGATGTGAGAGACAGGGGGGCACCAGCCGCAGCGCTGAGGCATGCTTGTCACTGGAGGGAGATGATTTAACATTTACCAATTACCTAGGGAACCGTGTAAGATAACTTTCTAAAAACCTCTTGGCCAGGTGTGGTGGCTCATGCCTGTAATCCTAGCACTCTGGGAGGCCGAGGTGGGAGGACTGCTTGAGGTTAGCAGTTTGAGACCAGACTCAGCAACAGTGAGATCCCATCTCTACTAAAAATAGAAAGAAATTACCCAGGCAACTAAAAATAGAAAAAATTAGCTGAGCGTGGTGGCGCACACCTGTAGTCCCAGCTACTCAGGAGGCTGGGGCAAGAGGATTGCTTGAGCCCAGGAATTTGAGGTTGCTGTGAGCTAGGCTGATGCCACAGGACTCTAGCCCAGGCAACAGAGCAAGACTCTGTCTCAAAAAAAAAAAAAAACCCTCTTGTTAAAGGTAATGTACCAACAGAAAAGTACATATAGCACAGGTATATAGCTTAATGAATTTTTACAAACTGAACATACATGTTAACATATATCTAGATCAAAGATAATCTTTTCAGTAACTGGTGCACATCACTTGGATGGCCATGTGGAAAAACCATACCTTGAAACTTATCCTATACCACACACACAAATCACTTCCAGACGGATCACAGATCTAAATGTGACTGCTGAACAAAGGAGGAAAACACAGGAAAACATCTTTGGAATCTTGGAGTAGACAGAGATTTCTTAAAGAGAGCATAAAAATGCTACCAGTTCAGAAGACAATTGGTTGATTGCACTATATTAAAGCAAAGAATTTCTGTTAAGCAAAAGAAATCAAGAGAGTGAAACTGAAGACAGTTTTTTGGATACAATTTTCAGAAAACAGAAAACGATGGTTTTATAAGAAAATCTACGCTCTCTGCACTGCATATTTAGAAGAGTCTTGACGCTTCCAGTTAGGCACCTAGAACTCCCCAAATTGCTAAAAAATCACAGTAGTATGGTGCGCTCTCTTGTCCCTCACTGATGGCTTAGTGAGAATGACACACCTCACGGCGGGGCGGGGTGGTTGAGGGCCCTAAGGCCGCCTCCCCCTCTGGTATCAGGAGAAACTGCACAGACGAGGCAGTCCCTGGTAAGCCAGGGACCTGAAGTGGACCTCGCTGGTGTGGACGACCTGAAATTCACCAAGGTGCCAGGGGGCTTTCCCTCTGCTGCCCTCAGGCCTGGTGGGCCGCTCACCTGAACGCTCACGCTGCCCTGGAGCTTGAGCTGCAGCTTGATCATGTCCACCTCGGCCGAGGAGCACAGCTGCCGGAGCTCCGCCACCTTCCTACTCATCTCGTCAATGGCCACTTCGATGGGGTTCAGATCGGTGTGGTGTTGGTACATGACGGGGATCCGCTTCTTCACGTAAGGGAAGCAATGTATTGCTGCAGAGAATGAGTCCCAGATTATTCCACAGCTTGCACGATCTTTACTGCTACTGAGGTAGGAGTAATTATTATCTCCACCTTACAAATAAGAAACCCAAAGCTAGCTTGCCAAAGTCACATGCTAGCACTTTGTGGAACCAGAATACTGTGTTGCTTTATAATCGTGTAACCGTTTAATGACAGGCTGTATCCCATAAAGTCAAGAGATTTAGGACCTTCTTATCCCTTTAATGTGAGAAGTGTGTCTTTGAAGAAATCATTTTATCATTCCTTGCTCAATTTTCTCATCCATAAACACCCTTGGAAGTTCTAAGATCTGAATGAGTTAGCAGGTAAAAGATGACTCTGACAACATAAAAAAGACTCAACAGTTTTGAGATGCTATGTAACACATTAAGTCTAGAAAATAGCTCCATAAAAATATCCTTGAGAAAATTCATTTCTGGCCATAGAACAACTTTGAGCCACCTGCTAAATTTGCACTAATCTGAGAAATCAATGAAAAATAACAAATGAGAATATACTTCGAAGCAAAGCATCTCGTGAACTAGAAATTCAGAAACTTTTAGAGTTGTACTACTAATAAAGGTATTTTAAAACTCATAGCAATGAATAAGAAATACAAATAAAAATATTTACTTTCTCTTACACATTTTTAACCAAGAAAAGCTAACTAATATTGTTTTTATTTATCATAATAAGATGCCTAAGAATATCAACACCAAAGAGTCAGTTTAAAAACAAACAGAAAAACAGAAGGTTCTAATTTGGGTCTGTTTCGCATTTCTATCTTGTTGCTTTATGTGGTATATAAATATCTATGAATATCTATAATAGTCTCATTTAATATATATTTACTAACAGACATGTAGATAAGTACTTAAAGCTTATTTTATTTTTTTATAAGCAAAAGTCGGATGGGAGTGGTCATGCTTGGATTTACTACGATTCCATCAGTGGCAGGGGAGAGTTCACTCAAGAAGGACTTGTCACGGAATGGGAAAGAGGGTAACCTCCCATACAACTCAGAGTTCCAAGGGGCCAACCAATATCTGGACAAAGGTCAGAAAAATGTCCTGCCTGAGGCAACCTCATCTGTCACACTCCTACAGGCCTGTTCTATTCTCAAATGTTTTCCCAATGGAAGGTCAGGATTCCTGTCTTGAGTTTCACAGTTTTTAAATGGCAGTGCTGGGATCCACAGACCCACTTTGAGAGAGGCTGCTCTGACAGTTAATGACAACTAGGCCTCACTGCTCCCCAGCCAGGGGCGGTGGCCCCTGGACAGACGGGCTTGCATTTGCATGGACCCGTGTGCTTTATAGAGAAACGGGACCACCTTCCTGTTTGTAAGGAAGGAGCCCCTGTGGAAACGTTTTGTGAGGCCAGCAGCCATGTCACGGGCTTCATGAGTGCCATGCTGTGGTAGCACCGTTAGTTCAGAGAGAAAAACCAGCTCCAAGGTTAACATTTGTGAGGTGTCCAGGGATCACACCGACTTCACTTGGTATAGAAGTCCTGAGCCACTGCCGCTTGTGATGGTAACTGGAGCCGGCCCCAGGTGGAGTGAGGTGCAGTGACACCACGCAGACAAAACCTGTGGTCCGTGCTGAGCCTACAAGGCCCACATGATCTGGGACCCCTGCCAGCTGTTCCCATTTCCCCTTGCTGACCTCACATGCACTCTTCTCCCACAGGCTCCCTGGGCTGCAGCCCCACCAGCCTCCTCCTCATGGTTCCCTGAGGCCCGGGCACAGGACCACACCGTTGGCCTTTGCCCTGACGTCTTCTCCCTCGATGTTCCATGGCCCACTCCTCACCTCCTTCAGGTCTTACACAAATGTTACCTCTTCAGCGAGGCCTACCCTGTCCACCCCATTTAAACTGCAACCCTCCCCTCAACCTCATGCTCCCAATCTCCTTTTGCTTTTGTCCAGAACACAGATTATATTCCAACACGGGTCCGTTCACTCATCTGTTCACTGCCTACCTTCTACTGTCTGTCTCCTCTGGCTGGAATGGCAGCTGCACAGGGTCACAGACATCTGTTTGGTTAGTGTGCCTGGTAGGAACACTGCCAGCGTGCAATGCATTGTGTGGAATGAATGAATGCATTACTGCCCAAACGACTACATGAGACAGCAAACTGGCCCTGGAAGGTGGACGGTTAGGTGACTGAGCAAGCCACTGGGGAAGACCCAGCTGACGAGCATGGTGGCCGTGTGCTCTGGCTGGCTTGAATAGAAGGTGGACGGCAGGAGGCTGTTTCCAACCTGAGTGGGAGTCTCGGCATGATTTGGAAGACTTTGGAATAGTGACTGGGAAGAAACTCCTTGGCAGAAGTTCCATGAAAGAAGGAAAGGGGGTCACATTTCATGTTTCAGGGCAGGCTCAGAAATTGCCACTGAGGAGGCTGGAGAGTGAACATGAGGGGTTTCAAATGAGCACTGGGGACAACCCTGGAAGGTAACCCCGCACTGGTCAGGGGTCAGGGAAGGCCAGGGCTCCCTGCAACTTGGAAGGCCAAAGGTCAGACTTGAAGCAACGCAATAGAAGAAGAATCCAAACGATTAATAACTTAAGGGAAAACTCTTAAGTTGAAAGTCTTTAGAATGCCCTAGTGTGCGTACCTTTAACTAAAAGTTGATACAGAGTTTGTGTGTTTTTAGTGCCATTTTTTTTTTTTTTTAAGAGACAGGGTCTTGATTTGTCGCCCAGGCTGGAGTGCAGTGACACAATCATAGCTCACTGCAGCCTTGAACACCAGAGCTCAAGTGATCCTCCTGCCTCAGCCTCCTAAGTGGCTGGGACTATGGGAATGCATCACCACATCCAGCTAATTTTTAAATTTTTTCTATTTTTTATAGAGACGGGGACTTCCTAAGTTTGCTCAGGCTGGTTATGAACTCCTGGCCTCAAGTGATCCACCCACCTCAGCCTCCCGAAGTGCTAGGATTATAGGTGTGACCCACTGCACCTGGCCTTTAGTGGCATTTTTATAACCTTTTCTCTAAATATTTATGCAGCCCAGTAAGTATTAGTATTATTTTAATATTCTGAGATCTTTCACAGCAAAAATCATACCTTTTGTATGTGTGTTTTGTTGGACTATAATCCCTCTCTGCTCACCACCAACCCCACAGAGCTCAACAGTGGATGTGATCTAGCAAAATCAAGTGCATTCTTTCCCCTCCTGGCTCCAATTTACAAAGTATTTAACACAATGAGACGCATGTTCTAACTCTCATTTTACAGACGAGGAAACAAAGGCACAGAGAGGGTGAGCTAACTGCCCAAGGTCACACAGCGAGGCTGTGACCTGGGTCTGCAGGACGTCCAGGCCAGACTCTCTGCTGCCCAGGCTTTCTCAGCCCCCCAGCTGTGGACGGTGGTTACCCCCTGGGCCAACAGCATGTGTGTCTACTCTGCAGTGCAGTCATTCTGTGTCCCCTCTGTCCTGGCAGATACAGAGCTTTGCTTACATGCCACGTGCTTTATCTAATCTCAAGTAGCTATGTACAAAATGGTAACCTGTACCCCCGGAAGAATGTGCCACGGGAAAACACCCTCTGGTAACTGTTTATGAATCAGTGTGCTACCTTCACAGTAATCATGATACATCCTGGCCTTGACTCGGCAGTGAACCAGGTTTATTTAAAGCAGCAGTTCTCAAATCTGAGTGTGCATTAGGTCACCTAGAGGGCTTGTTGAATACAAAGAGCCCGGCCCCACTCCCAGAGTTTCTAATTCAGGAGGCTCAGGGTTGGGCCCGATGATGCGCATTTCTAACAAGTTCCCAGGGGATGCTGATGCTGCTGGTCCCAGAATAACCTTTGATAACCACTGATTTAAAGAATCAAAAGTAAAGTCATCAGCACTATACCAATAAACACCATGAGCTAGTAATTCCTGTAATTCCTGTAAAACGATTCCATCTAGAAGTGTAGTTATCTTGCTTAATAAGAATTTGCTACTGATATGTGCATTACAAAAATATTTCATTTATTTATGGGGTAGGAGCTAACATTTGTGAGGACAATATTGTCTGTGCTTCACATATGTTACTCTGTCATTCTAAAAGCAGGAGTAAGATGCTTTAAGAATATAGGTTTTAAACTTTTATCTCATTTCCCTCATAGGGAGGGTAAAAATTCCTTGCAATACGCTGTCCTGAGCTAATCTGTAATGACTCATATTCTTCTTTTGATAACAGCTTTACTGAGGTATAAAGCGCACATCATACAATCCACCCATTTATAGTGTACAATTAATTCCCTGGTGAGAGCTGAGAATCACCTGGATGCAGCATCCGACAGTACTCCTTCCATTTATGATGATAATGCATTAATTATAATGTTCCACATTATCACCCAGATGGAAACACAATGCCGACTTCTAGGGAAGCAGTGGGTCCTTTTCTGGTTCGATGTAATCAAAGGCAACTCTTTGGAAAACGTGCCTAAATGGTGGCTAATGACACATTTGGCATTCTGAACAGGCCTCCCACTGATTTTTTTGATCGAGAAATTGTTTTATTTTAGGTTACCCCAGTTATGCTGGTGACCCTAACCTAATGAAGGGGTTAAACTCCCCCAAAGAAGGTAAAAATCACCCCCAAGATGACTCTACATTTGTCCCACTGGGAAAAGACGCAAAGCACATTTCCAAGAATGGGTTATCAATGGTTAATCAGTGCCAAAGGGATCAATGAAAATTGCATCAGCAGAACAGGAGCTTCCTGGCAGTGCAGGTACTCAAGCTGAAGCTGGTCAGCCACCATGAGCAAAGAGGTAGAAGAGATTCAGCCTCATGTCCCATTTATTCATTCAGCCTAAAATTGCCGAGCAGGTCCACGCAGGAGCCTGCGCGGCAGAGGTATGTGAGACAGGTCCCCTCCGTGCACGGCTGCTGGATCTGGGGCCACGACCTGGAAAGGGCTCCGCCAGGTTTCAGAATGAGTCTGTAAGTCACCTGAAACTATGTGCAAAAGCACCTGGACAGATAAGGGGCCACCATTTTCATCAGATTCTAAGAAGGGTAAGTGATCTTACACTAGGTATGAACTTCTTGTCTGGTGGAAGAAGAAAGTACTAGTAGACAGATAAACAAAGAATATCACGAGTATTCAAAAGTAAGCGCTAGATAAATGTGGAACTGTCATGGGTATCGAGGAAGCTAGCTAAGCTTGAAAGGCCCTTCCAATTCCTGAAACTTCTGAATCCCTCCCGGACAGCGCTGCATCCTGGCGTCACGCAACGTACCTGTCAGTATGGTGCGCCGTTTGCACTGCTCTTCCACCCCACCCTGCCTCTTCCCAGCCTGGGTAAAGGGCATCTCAAACATGAAGCGGCGGATGTTGTGTGATCTTTCAAACTCTGTTTTCCTTTCTTGCAATTCTTTTTCATCAAAGAACGGGGTCACGTGAGTCACCTGGATATACGCATACTTGGAATCCAGGTCCTTAGGGTTGACCTTTAATTGAATAAAGAAAATGGAAGATTGGTGCTATTTGCAGGAATCTCTCAAGCCTTGCTTAAGCTGTATTTCCCAACTTTTCATGAGTAAACATGTTGGGAAAAAAGTAGCATAAAACCCACCCGCATACCCACCACTTGCATCAACAATTGCTAACATTTTGCTGTATTTGTTTCAAACATACACTCACATACACAGACTTTTTTTAGCTGAACTATCTCAAAGTAAGTGGTATACATCATGACATTTCAGTTGGCTTCTCCTAAGGATGAGGGCATTCTCCTCTACAACCACAACGCATTACCATACCTAACAAAGTTAACAATGATTCCCTAATACTATCCAATACCCAGGCTATATTAACATTTTCTCAAATGCCTCCAGACTGTTACTTATAGTCATCTGTGTCTGAAGCAGAATCTAATCCACAATCACACTTTATATTTAGTTGTTGTATCTCCCTCGTCTTGTTTAACATAGAATTCCCCACTATTTTTTTTTTTAATGACATCGAATTTTCTGAAGAAATCTTGCTTGTTTTCTTGTTGAATGACCCTCAGTCTTAATTTTTCTGTTTCCTAAAGTGCAATATATTTGGCTAGGAATTTGTTTTAGGAATAATGTTTGAAAGCTAGGCCTCTAAATTATTATTAATCTGTAGACAGATCAGATTAGATGTCGACAGCTTCAGACTAATTTAATACAGGTACAGACAGAATCTAATGATAAGTTTAGTTCCTACTTAACTCAACATGCTTTTAAAACCACATTGCTAGAATTGGTGGTGCTCTCATTTCTGTGACATGATAGAAAATTAAACACAGGCATTTTCCATAAAGACACAAAAGCTTATTAGGGAGACAAACCAATTTTGCACATTTTAATTGGATTTAACCTTCTAGAGTAATAAAAAAGGACACAGTAACAATGACTGTGCAGAGAATGTGGTGACCACACAGACAATGAATGAGAACAGCATGGTCTTACTGCTCTTGGAACAGAGATGTTTGTAAAGAAAAATGAAAAATGGATGTGAAACTGCCACTTTGGAAGTTAAGAAAATACATAAAGTCATAGAAAGTTATTATTTATGTTTTAGAAAAAGCCATCTGGCCATCTAACTGTATTTGAATCATTTTAAAGTCAGTGGGAAAACCATCTTCTTGCCTACTTTCCGGTGGTGTTTCCCTGCTCTTCACTCCCCGGGTGTGTGTGCCCAGAAGGGATGGAGGATTGGTGCTTGGTGGGGGAGGCGGTAACTCTTCCAGCTGCTGTATCAAGGGCCACGTATTAAAAGGGGAAGACTGACTGAGAACTTGGAGGAAAGTCTGCAATGTTAAAGCCACCACCTGATGCGAAGGTTTCAGTTTCAGAGAAGAAGGCAAATGGGACCAGAATCATTTGGCCTACAAAGTGAGGAGGCCTTCATAAAGTCGTGTTGACATTTCTGCTCATAAATGGACCAACAATGTGTTTATCCCTTTTCCTTTGTGCAGCTCTGTTAAAGTGACAGTAAAGAATTAACCTGCATGCACCTAGGAAAGAGAACAGAAGACAGCAGTGGCTGGGAGATTTTAATGAGCCTTTGGAGGAAGGTGAGTGGAGGTGCTACTTGACTTGGCAGAGTGAAGGAAGTTCTAATCCGTGTTCCCACGGCGGGGGAGGGGGGGCGGGTAACACACGTGAGCCGGTGCGCCACTCAGAAGCCTGCGAGGACTAGATTTGTTGTCCGTAGGATTAGGGAGACTGAGTGAGGCGTGAGATGGAAAATGAGGCAAGTGGCCCAAAATCCCCATCTGGACTCAGGAATGCCAAGTTCCCTTCCCTAGTCCCCACTTCACAAGAGGGCAGAGGTCATTCTCTGAAGAAACTGGACTGGAAACTGTAAGCGGGTCCACGAGTCTCAGCAGAAAGCAGGCCAAGGTACAGAGTGGGTAGAGAGCAGGTAAGTGAGAGGCGTACCCCTCCCCAGCGCCCCACCCACCTGGGCAGGAGAATGGAGGATTCTTCTCTGGAGAGAGTGAGAGGCCCCAAGGAAACAGATTTTAGACACCGAGGACCCAGAGGAAGGCTCAGGAAAGAAAAGGGACCAAGGATCACTCCAAAAGGTTTGCCCATCCCTGGTGGAGAGCTGAACAGGAGGTTTTTTCTTTTGTTTTAGAGACGGGGTCTCGCTCTGATGCTCAGGCTGGAGGGCAGTGGTGCTATCAAAGATCACTGTAAGGGGACCATTTTTAATACAAAGAATAAAAGCTCTACTTCTGCCTGAGTTTTGGGAAGCAGAGGGATACCCAGCTTCCTGGAGATGTCCAGAAGAGGGTGGGATGCATAAATGTACAGGAAAAATGTGTAGGTTCCCAAAGGGTCTTCATGAGAGCAAAATGCAAGAGGACAGCCCCTCTACACACAAAGTCAAGCTCACTCCTACAATCATCCTAGCTGGTGACTCCATTCCTTGGTCTGCCCGTCTGTCCATACATCCAACCGTCAGTGACGCAGACTGTCAATCATGTCTAAGTGCAGGGGAAAGTGCAGTGAGTAACAGAACTTGGGACCCCACTCCTTCAGACTTTCTAAATATCTGGACTAAAAATGACACATTCCTTCAGATATTAATTATTTTAAATTAGTATCTTTTTTAAAAGTATGCAATATAGACTTGCTTAATGTCAAGCATGCAGTGGAAAGCATAAAAAGGTATTAAGAAGAAAACAATACACCTGCTACTCAAGGCCAACCATCCTTAATTTTTTTCTGTTTTTTTCCCATACACATTTATAAATATATAATCCATCACACTTAATCAATCAAAACATTATATTGCCATGAAACTTATTCAAACACAGTCATACCTTGCCAGAATCTTGTATCATTTTGACATTTTCAGAACCAAATTTATCTGAGTAAAGTTTAAGGAGTCTCTGAGAAATTTCTGACAGAGGTGTGAGTTTGGGTTCTTTGTAAATATACTCCTTTCCATCTTCATCTTCAAAGAATCCCTGTGACATAAAAGCACAATCAGAGTTCTCCCCGAATAGAAGCCCAAGGCTTACCACCCAGGAAGGGTTCTTTTGTTACAAGGGGAAGAAAAAAAAAAAAAAGAAAAGAAAAGAAAAAAGGAATCATTCTAAAATAAAATCCTACTTAAATAGGCTTTCGGAATAAGAAGGAAAATGATAATAATGGGAAGTCTGGGTGCAAAGATAAAGGAAAAACACAAAATTGCAAACTTATTCAAGAATGCTGTCATTAAGTGTTGAGTGAAATGAAAGATTTTGGATTCAAGACTGTGTTGTCTCAGTGAAGTCTAATGATGGAGTCAAGCCTGTTTCACGTTCCCAAGAAGCAGAACTCACTAAAAAATGATCAGTAGCCTGCAGTAGGCAGGCTTCAGAGATACATACACATCCTTTCTCCTGTCTGTTCCCATTTACATGGGATTTCACGGCATGAACTGACCCATTCAGGCCTGGAGCATGTTCAGTGCAAGTTATGTGAAGTTTGCATACATCCTATTTTACTTTACTGATGAGGAAAAATATTAAAGGCCTGTAGCGCAATATCAGAAAACACTTTCATCGTCAGCAGTCATCATCTGTTTTAACAGCAATGTTTGTCTGCAAGGCTCAGAATTGCATGGGAAGTGAAAAAGGTTGAAAATCAAAGTCTAGGCTGGGGTTAATATTTAAAATAAAATTTAAAAAAGTTTCTCATCTAAAATAAAAGAGAGAGAATGGTGCAAAACCAGTATATATTAAAAAAAAATGCAGGCTAACATAAAACAAAAAACACCCACATCAAACTAGGAGTTTAGATGCAGTCATTTCACTACATTACTTGCTTTTTAGACATTTACTGTAATTACCTCCACATCTGTTTCACTGTCTGTAAACTGGTATTGCTATAAAGTTATAAAAGACAATAACAGAATAAATTGAAGGTTATATAATGCTCACAGAAAACCACACACCCTAAATAAATGGATTATAACTTATATCATTTAATAATGTTAAAGATTTGAAGGTTAAAATTTAAGTAAAATTTAAATAAACCCTTTCATATAGAGTTTCTGAAATATTATAATAGTAAATATACTTGTGGAGATATTATATTATGAAAGCTAAAGATGAACAGGCACAAATGAAACCAGAAAGTCTTAATTGTGGTTTAAAACATGCAATGCGGATGTATAAGGAAACAGGTGATTTATTTCTGTAAATGGAATAAAATGTTAATTTTATTTTGGGGGGAAGTTTGTGATGACTAGACAGATATACATACAGACTTGAAAAGGAAACTTGCAAACCACACTGAAGTACCAAAGACACCACTAAGAACAGCTTATGGAGGAAGAACTTACCGCTGCCTTAAGAAAGTAATAAAGAAAAGACAGGAAGAAAGAAAAAAAGCAGAAAGTTTACTACTGAGGAAGAATCATACTAAATATGACAAATTCATCAAATTAGCGTTTATAGAAAACAGAGAATTTACAAGATATAACTTCATAGAGTTAAAAAAAATAAAAGGACTTCGGACAACCTACGGAATAGACGGGAGGCTCACCTGTCCGAAGAAGGCTACCCGGAAGTAGGTCCCTAGGAGCCTGCGGCCCGAGTGCATGACCTCAGTCACTTTGCTGTAGGCCCGGTGCAGTGTGTCATACAGATGGGCTAGCCTCTGGAAAACAGAACAAAACCCATTTCCTTCCCACCTGCAAACAGCAGAATCAATTTTAACATAACAATTATGTGATATCAGAGGTGAAAATTCCTCGAACTTGAGTAAAAAAATAAGAATATATTGTGACTGCACAACTTGTAGTGATCGTTTACGAATGGTAATGTTTCCTACCCAAAGGGCCAGCCTGCATATGAAGACCCATCAAGTTTCTACATTATAGTGAGCAAATTCTGTTTTCAAGTTATCGTGAGATGTTGGCGATGGTTCTCTGATGCCATTTTTATTAGTCTTTGCTTTTCTTACTCTGATATGCTAAGAGACACTGGATGAACTCCCAAGCCCAGGAAGGATGGAAGCGACACCATTTTCCCTACGCAGGTGGAGCAAGGGAGAGTTGTGAGGAAAAGGGTGGCTGGTGATCAACAAAACTCTGTTCATGGCAGCCTTTCAAAAGTGGAGTGTCAGGGTGATGACCAGTAGTTTGAGATGTGGGTGTCTGCACAGAGGTGGGGCCCAGGTATGTGTGATGCCTGATGACCCTTTGGAGGTGGTAACCGGTGACCACCTTTAGCCTAACATGGAGGGTCAGAGACCACAAGCTCATCACTGACCCGTGGCCTGCTGGCTCTCTTGGCGTGTAAGTAGGTCTGGGGTTATGTCACACCATTGTGCTCTCAAATAGGAAAAACAAAAAGCCACTCTGATACCTCAAAATCCCTCCGCTTCTCATAAATGGGGATGATGAGTTTATAGATGTCAGCGATCAGCTCATAGCGTTCAGCTTTCCAGAGCCCATCTGCACACTGCTCGAGCAGCTCCATCAGCACGTCCTGGGCAAAGGGGAGGGCAGAGAAGAGCATTATGGGAACATGGCATGGTACTCCTTGCAGAATATGTAACTGCTAAGACTGCTAGGAGAAGGATGAAAGGCTATCCTTCTCCAGCGAACTGCCTTTGAACCGTTGTCAAAAATTAACCAACCATATGTGTGTGGGTCTTTTTCTGGACTCTATCTTTTGTTCCACTGATATATGTGTCTATCCTTGTGCCAATACCACAAGGATATTTTTTGTTTTTTTTTTTGAGACAGAGTCTCACTCTTTTTGCCCGGGCTAGAGTGCCGTGGCGTCAGCCTAGCTCACAGCAAACTCAAACTCCTGGGCTCAAGCAATCCTTCTGCCTCAGCCTCCCGAGTAGCTGGGACTACAGGCATGCGCCACCATGCCCGGCTAATTTTTTCTATATATTTTTAGTTGTCCGATTAATTTTTTTCTATTTTTAGTAGAGACAGGGTCTTGCTCTTGCTCAGGCTGGTTTCGAACTCCTGAGCTCAAATAATCTGCCCGCCTCGGCCTCCCAGAGTGCTAGGATTACAGGCGTGAGCCACCGTGCCCGGCCCACAAGGATATTTTTGATGCTATTGTAATTAGTACTGTTTTTAAATTTTGACAACCTTTTTTTTCAAGGAAAGTACTTTAAGATAAAAGGAATTATAAAAAATAATCATTAACTATATAATGAAATTGTGGCATCTCTAAATGAGAAGATTGACTTTTGTACACTAATCTGATCTTCCTAAACTGAATCCTCAGTTTTAATAGCTTCTTTTGTAAATTCTTTGGTTTTTTTCTCCGTCACATAAGACAACTACGCCTTGTGTGAATACAAAAAGTTTTATTTTTTTTTCTTGCCTTACTACATTGGCTAGACCCCCAGCATGATGTTGAATCGAGCGATGAAAGTGGATATTCTTGTCTTGTTCCCAATTTTAGAGGGAAAGCATTCAGTCTTTCACCATTAAGTATAATGATAGCTGTAGTTTTTTTGTTGATAGTCTTTTTTTTTTTTTTTGAGGTTAAGGAAGTTTCTTTCTATGCAAGTTTTTTTTTCTTAAATCATGAATGGATGTTTAATTTTGTCAAATGCTTTTTCTGCATCTTCTGAAATGATCATATGGTTTTTCCTATTTATTGTATTGATATAGTGAATTACTTTGGTTTTCAAATGTTGAACCCACCATGACAATAAACCCCCTGGAATAAACCTCACTTGCATTTCTCTTTTTTATATATTGCTAGATTCGATTTGCAAATATTTGGTTAAGGGTTTCATAGTTGCTTTTTAAACATGTTTGTATCCTCTATAATACTATAAATGAAGGGCAAGCCCTGTGTTTTTCATTACTGGCCTAATGTTTCATTACAGGCCTAAGTTTTAAAGCAGAAAATAAACAGTTTTAAAGCAGTTGTAAATCAATTTATCAGAAAATACTATCTAAGCAAGACCATTTAACTCCTATGTCATATTTATAGCATACAGATCATAAAACTGCCATTGGTGCACCAGTGTTTATAAAAAGGTACAGCAGTTTTTTCATGTTTTTATTGTAGGCCTCATTAAGTGCAAACACCAAAGCCAGACATGTGTAGTAACCACCATGATAGCCATAGTCAAAGAAGAAATCAGAAAAGGTTCTAACACCATCTCTTTTCTTTTGCATTGTATTACAAAGATGTACATCTTTCTTAGTTTTGTCTCAAATCTTTTCCAATGGACAATCGATCCATGCTAAGCACGACAAAATTTTACAATGCTTTCCATGCTCCTCTGGTTATAAAAAGCTTAAGAAAAGTATAAGAATAAAACTTGTACAATGTCTACATCAATATGCTTATTTTTCCAAATTTGTAAAAATGGGGAATGTATCATGGGTGGAACCTCATAGGTGTCTGTGAGCATCAAATAAAACTCTACCCATCAAAATGCTCTGAAAACTGTAAATTCTGTATGGTATTGCACAGGCCAATTAAACAAACCTCCCTTATTACAACCATCATTTTCTACTTTGTATTCATTAAATAAAAACCCTTACTTCTACTGTGCTACATAATACACCACAGTGCCTGCCACCTGTCCGGCGGGGAGAAAGACCCCTGGAGAGGTTATACAAGATGGTGGCGGGTGCACCCATGATGCACTGTGAAGTACTAGGGTGCCGAGAGGAGCAGCATCCGCCTAGCAATGAGGGGAAGGGCAGCGTGGAAAGCTGGACAAAGTGGTGGCGGACTGTCTGAAAGGAGGATCAGGAATTAGTGAGGAGAAGCTGAAGGTGGGAGTGGGAACAGGACGACCCAGAGGAGCAGTCCAGGTGGCAGGAGTAGCCTGGGCAAAGGCAGGGCGTGAGGGATTTGCAAGTAGTCTGAGGGGCCAGAGTATAAAATCTGAGGTCGGGAGGTGGGAAGGAGTAAGCATACATTGAACTGGCACACTCAGAGCTTCCTGTGTCAGAAGTAAATTAATAATTAAATGTAGATAATTTTACAGGGCATGAAACACATGTGGCCATACCTCAACTACCACAACGGACAATGAACTATTACAGCAGGAAGATATTATTAATGATTTTCAAATGATGGTCTGTGTGTCCAAGTAAGGTACCTACGTACAGCAGCCTTTCAGGTATATTTTAAATAGCTCTAGATTTAGTCCATAAATATATATCAAATAGAATTATGGATAGTTTCCTGGGTCAGATTTTTTTTTTTATCAACAATAGAAATTTCTCACTTCAGAAGTTCTTAACTGATAGACAGATTTGACTATGTGCTATTTCTACTCTTGTTTAGTCAAATTAGAAACAGGTAGAAATTTTAATAACAATGAAATCTAAATTCAAGTAGCATATGAGTATTGATATATGATATAATATGTATGATATGATACATATTGATAATTGAGTTCCTTATGGGCAAACCTATTATATTTGGTACAAAAAAATGAACTTCAACCAGGGATATTCCCCAGAATGGTTGGGAAATGAATAAATTTGATAAAGTGAATAAAATCGAGTAAATATTATCAAATAAGTAACACAATTTGATGGTTATCAATAATTAGAAAATTTAACATGTCATCAACTTTTATACTCTACTTAACATTATCTTCCTTTCTGATTCTGAAGCCACTCAAAATCTGTAGTTATCTGTCCAAATATCACTTACTATTGTAAAGAATTACATACTTACTATTATAGTATGTAATATATACTATAAAAAGGAGAGTTGGTACAGATTTTACCTAATAAAAAACTGAAAATGGCTTTTATATAAAAAAAAGGTAACTCCTTCTCTCATAGAGTGTGGACTACCCAACATCAAAGCTTAATTTAGTAAGGTAAATTATTCAAACTGAGGTCAAGTCTATACCTAGACCTTTACAGCTGCATTGAGTAACAAATCTTTGAATAGACATAACCAGTAATCACAGACAGTTAAGTTTGAGAGACCACATGTCAACATAAAATTTTACAGGGTCATAAAACTAAGACACAGTAACTAAACATTGGAGCATATATGAATAATATTCTCAGCAAAATTCTACTTATTCATTTACTTTGAATTCTCAGCAATCACTGCACCTGAAAACCAAAATGAATCCAGACAATGGCCAGACAGTGGTAACCTTGGAAGGCAGTCATACAGCATGCCTGATGGTTTTACTACCTTGTTTAAAATGTAAATGCCAAGATATCTTTTTCTAAATTATTGACATAGTCAAAGAACTGTAAGTAATAACTGGTAGGGAAAAAAAACCTCAATGAACTCTATGCATCCGGAAAGTATGCATTTTATGATGTTTGACTAGACTTGAAAAAATCTCGGTACACCAAGTTCTTAAGCCACTGAGGAAGCTTTTTAAAATGCAATTAGCCAGGCCCATTTTAAAGTGTGCCACAGTGATGCAATCAAAGGCACTAAGCATCTGTCTGTGGAAATAGCACACTAATGCTGTGTATGTGCATGCACAAAAACGCCTGCATGAGCCTGTTTGTGCAGTGTTATTTAAACTTTTTTCATTTAGATGCCATTTGCTTCATCTCAGGATTGGTTAATTTAATTTAATTGGCCTTATCTATGAAGCTAAATGTTGTCTCTATTATCTACCATTTGAGAAAAACTGTAAACGTGTGAGCTGGCTCGAGGAATGGCTAGAATGCACATCCTTTCACAATGAAGCAGGGTGATATGTGGTGGCATCAGGCAAAGGCAGAGCAGTCACACAAGTTCCACCGGCCGAGTTCCCTACTACCGTGACTGCCACTGTGAATCGTTATACTAGTGGGGACACGCTTTGAAACTTCCACGGTTCCAAGAGCTTTGCCAGTCAAGGAAAAGTGGATGGTGACATGGCTCTACAGGGCTACAATCCCCAAGCTTAGATGAGAAATGAACAGTAATCATAGACTGCGTTCTGCTGATACTGCCATCTCCTGGAACGTAAACATTTATGTTTCTTACTGGCGGCTGTTTCTGAATAGAAACAATTTTGGCTCAGAGAAGCCAGAGACTTGCCTTGCTAAGTTAATGTAATGTTTATCATACCCAATGGAGATTCTGTAATGGCAATAAAACAACAGTTTCATGTGTTAAATATAGCCAATTCTTGTTATACAAGGTAGGTATGTTCTATAAAGTCACCATGAATTAGTGAATACCAGCCTATTTTCTGGGGAAAACACAGGGTTGGGTTCCTGCAAGCCTCTGGTTACAATGTTTTCCTCAAGAGATCAATACATAAGCCTGTTTTATGTGTTTCTGTTTAAAGATACCTAATTAAATACTGCTGATTCACTAATATCAAATTCATGGCCAACCGCACTAGAACTTACGCCTGAGCGAAGCTTATATCACGCATGTACAGAACATTGCGGCCTTCTTGTGCTGGGAACCCTAGACCTGTAGTCCCCAAGCCCCAGGTCGAGGACCGGTCCGGAGAGCTCCACTGGCCACGTCCCCTCCCCCATCCTGTCTGTGGAAAAATTGTCTTCCATGAAACTGGTCCCTGGTGCCAAAAAGGCTGGGGACCGCTGCCCTAGACAGCACTTCAGCACTACACTTGGGGCCATTTTCAACAACAAAATCCAAAAAAATGTGAAAAACATGGCATTAAACAGACGACGGAAAGAACACGTGTTCACAGTATGAGAGCTGCGACGAGAAGGCAGAGTGTTACCTTGTTCAACCTCAGCAGGAAATGTGTGTGTGGAGTGGCTCAAATTATTTGCTGTTCTGAGCATATCCCTGAATACCACAAAAGCACACAAGTATTGATTTTGGAGTTATAAAGAAATTTTAGCAGGTAGGCAGATAATGAGGATCGACTGCATTTTCCATGTCCCCCTCTGGAGGCCTTCTCGGCCCCGTTCTCCCAGCTCTGCACTCAGGACTGCTGCCTGCACGAAGGTTCCCCTCGCTCTGGCTCTGACTGAGGGAGGCCCAGCAGGTGGGAGGGCAGCAGGAGAGTGGGGTGGGTGATCACTCCCTCCCTCCCTGTAGGGTGTCCTCAGAAGCCTACTGGAGCCCACAGGTCCGGTCAGGCGGCTCCTCTGTGCAGTTTCTCCCTCTCTCTCTTCACCCCTCAGGTCAAGGGGGGAAAACCAGCTGCTGCTAACCTCAGGGGGACTGCAACATTCTTTGCTGGTTTCTCTAAATCCTCTCTGAACTTTTATTAACAGACTCTTTATTAGACTTTCTTGAATTTCCCAAGAGTGCCATCTGCACCCTTCCAGGCCCCTGGTCCTGTATCAGTTAACGAGGGAGGGATCTCAAAACTGCACCCTTAGAACTGGGAACTCAGAATTCTTCAATCTGCACAGGCTCGGATTTGTGAAACAAACTGTAATTATAGGAGATTTCTCTTTATCTAATCAAAAGCAGCTGGGATTCTGCTCTTCAGATCAAAGAAGGTGGAACTGGTGTCAATAAACTCATCTGAGGCCTGCTGCTAAGAGAATCGAGTATTTTTAGGTAATGTTCCTAAAAAATTCATTTTAGGAGGGTATCTAAGGCACTGAATTATATCTGATAATGTAGATTAAAAGGGCAATGAATTTTATTAAACTGTGTTATCCACTTATTTCCTGTCAGCTTTTCCCAAAATTCCTTCTTCTCTAGCACTAGAGACTTTCATCTTTCTTTTTCTTGCAACATCCTGGTAGCCATTCACCATCAGCAAAATGTGCATGGCGATTTCTGTTTTCCTGTCTATTAGAACACACGTTACTCTTTCCACTCCCCACTAGTTTCAATCTTGACGTGCAGGGCTTGCTCAGGACTTTACAACCCCACTGTGTTACATCCCCATCATCACAGATCGTCATGTACTATGGACCTTGTTAAAGATTTACCAAGTTTATACTTCAAGGACAGGGTGGCAAATCCATATTCTGAAAACAGCTGATAAAGTGATCCTTGTCACAGGCTTAATTATTACTCAGAGGGGGTGCCATTCACACATTTCCCCCGCAATGTCTGTACTTGATCTCAATAGGCTCTAGCAACTATTTCAGCCTATTACTTAATCAGATGAGCAAACTCAGGCTTCATTTTATCATTCCTGTGAGTAGGTTACTGGAAACTGTTTACTTTTACATCTTTAATTGTTCTTAGCATCACTTCTTTCTTTATCTAATTGCAAACAAAGTGGTACGCCCTGGAGGTCTGATCTGGCACAGGGATGTGAGGGTGGTTTCCTCAGGAGACAGTGCAGTCATGCCTCTTCTCAGGGAAGAACTCAGTCAAAATTCACCTTGAAATGAGGAGTTCAAAGCCAAGAGCATGCAGGCCTTGTTCTCTCCGTGATAGGTTTCACACTTGAGAGTAAAAAGTAAATAAATCACCATCTGTCCAGGCATTTTATGTTGGAGATACAGAGGAAATGCTAACACCACATAACAACCAACTTGCTTCTTTTTTTCCAGGATGCTTAGAAAACTTTATGGTGGTTAAAATTATTTTAATATTTAAACATGAAGTACACTCTTTTCTCCTGCTTAGTTTTTAATTTTGAGGGCCATTTGACCCTAGATAATTTACAGCAGTGGGTTCTTAAACTTTCTGAACTTAAGACCCCTTTATAGATCTTAAAAATTACTGAGGACTCCAAAGAACTTTTGTTTACGTAGATGTTCTCTTTCAATCTTTACAGTATTAGAAATGAAAACTGAAAAAAAAATGTAAAAAGATTTACTTTTTCATTAAATTCAAACAATAAACCTATTACATAGTAATTTTTTAACAAGAAGAATAATGGCATTTTCAAAAAGAACAAAAAGAGAGGGAGGAGGAAGAGTACCTTTTTTTACATGTTTAATGCCTGACTTTGTGCGTGAAACCTGAATTCTCATCCCGTCTGTGTTCAATCTGTTTGAGATGTTGTGGGTTGAGGTAGACAAAGAAAACCCAGCCTCGTGCAGACACAGTTGGAAAAGTAAAAGGCCTCAAAAAGGCCCTGAAAGGGTCCCAGGACCACACTCAAGAGAACTGATTTATGGACTGGTTGACGTCATGGAGGATGTTTGTTCAAGGGCGCTCCTGACTGGCATGAAACGGCCGGCAGCCACACCGTTAACTGCGTGCCAGCCCACCACCGCCCTGTGGCGCAGGATAAACCAACACAGACAGGAGCAGAAGGTAGTTACTCCTCCTCTGCTGTTCCTTCCCTCCGCATGAAGACTCGGACAACTTCATTTTTCCTTAAAAGATGAGCAGGATTACAGAGCTTTCCCTTGACCATTTTGTTCTGCTCTGGGCCTGCACAGCCCTTCTGGCAGAAATTCACGGGAAAGGAAAATAGTGAGTGTGAGCAGAAAACCGGCATTTATTCACATTCTTATCTTTATTTCAAAACTCTCCAGTTACAGATAAGTGGCCTCAAGCCTATCTTGTTTTGGCAAGAAATTTGCAGAAATTGTTACAATGATCTCCATGGGGGTTGGGAGAGGATGGTCTATTTCCTAAGGCCCTCAGGATCGGGCCGCAGCACACAAGCGGAGGCAGGAACTGTGGCCCTAAACAGGGGCTGCTCTGGCCACGAGCCCAGTCTGAACTCTCATATCTTTGAGTGTGGTCCTGGGGGAGATGACAAGTGTTGGAGGCACCAATTTAAAAGTCAGATTAAAACAGCCATAAAACTCATGAGCCAGAGAAATTAATTTCTAGAAAGAATGAGAAACTTTATGGTGAATATATTGGACCTGTTGCTAGAAGTGCTCAAGCCCTCAGCTTCACTTCACTGTGATCCGGCCCCTCCCACCCTCTTTCCAGAGAAAAGGAAGCATTCCTAGAAAGGGGGAATGGCAGGAGCTCCTGCTGCTCTGTTTCGGAGCTCAGCGTGCTAGCGGCCGGGAGACAAGCCTGGAGTGACATGCCGGCTGCGGGCAGGCTCCCAGAAGTCCGAGTCCTTGAACACTCACCTGAGTGCGAGCACTCACCTCGTTGAAATGGACGTCCTGCATCCCGACGTCTTCCATCATGGAGGCCTCCTCGTCTATGTTCGGGGTGATGACCCTGAAGGCTGTGCATCCCTGTCTACACATGCCTGGGAATTGAGGGAGCAGTGGAGAGAGCCAGAGTGAGGAACCGGCATGTGGGTGAATCTCGCGGGTTCTTTCTGCCCTGTGTGTGTCTGTGTTGAACGAAATAACTGACTCCGAACTCTCTAGGTGTCAGGCCAGCATTCACGTGGGCATGTGGGGGCCACATGTGCTTTTCTTCATTCACTTCCCATGCGGAGCCCTCACCTCCTGCACTTTTTTGTCCCTTAATTTTTAGCCCACCTTTATTAAAATGTGTGCAATCTTTAAATAAACTGTACGTCAACTGAGAAATAGGTATTCAATCAAATTAATAGCAAAATATTAATAGCACATAAATGAAAATTTGATTTGGTTAAGATGGCCCATGCTCAGATACCAAGAAATGTAAAGAAGCCAAAGCCCATAAAAGAGAAATGTATGACTCAAAAGTAACTGCTTCCTTCAAACTGTCATCTCACCCACTCTGGCCAGGGGAAAACACATGACACAGATTAGAACTTCCCTTCCTCCTTCCTGAGGCAGTCTGTAAAACCCAGCTGTAACTCAACAGTGGCTGCTATGAGTGGACAGGCTGCCTTAACTTGTCCCCACGCCAGCCACCTCGGGGTGAGCAGGGGCCTTTTTCTCCATGTAACTGAGGAGCTGGACCAACAGAAAGCACAGATGCTGCAGGGGCCCAGGCACTCTGATTGTCTGAGGGGCACTGGTGTAAGCGTGGAGGTGGGAATTGATCTCTGGGATACGGATAAATTCCTTAAGCAACGACAGCCTATTTGGGGCCTTTACTCATCTTGGCGTCATTGGGCAACAGCTTCAAGTCAGCTGGACAATGTCAGCTGTGCAAAAGGCTCATGTGAAGGACTGGAAATGTTCCGCTACTCTATTACGAGATGCCTGTCCACAATAAAACAAAACAGAAGTCAGAACTTGAACTGAGACCTCCCATATCTAGGGAAAAGGAGGAACACAGGGTATTTTAAAATCAAGCCTTAAAAAAGTTGATTCTAGTCAGAGATTTTTCTGCTGCACACGGATCCAGGTTTCCATGCCATTCATAGGTTATCTAGCATCTCTGTCACTATCCTGGTTTAGCCTTGCTTTTATTTTTTTATATGGAGACAAGAGTCCCTAATGAAAAGCATTGATCTAGGAGCTTTAGGATACATTAACATACAAAACATAAAATGATAAAAACCAACCACCATGCTTTAGGCTATCATATAACTCAGCTCCAATGCAATAACGAAAATGGTGGCCAAAGTGCCTTCCTCTCGTGCCCACAGGAATAGATGGCCAGCCCACTGGAGAGCCCAGGAGAAGGGAGGGAAGGAGAATGAAGTCTGTCCATGCAAAGTTGAAAGGGAAAATCCCCGCACCATTGAACGGCATGTGACAGAGCAGGAGGGGCCCCTGGGGGCCGGGTTGACCCTCAGGCTCACCTGCCCGGCTCCTCCTCTGGCAGGTGCCATGGCTGCAGGGGAAGAGGGGCGGCCCCCGCCGAGGCGCTATATCTGCTTCTAAACGTGAGGAAACGTACCACCTGATGAACAGTCTCATGGCAAACAGCACTGGTGTTACATGAACACGGAGCCCTTCTATTGGGCTCTGATATTCCATACCAAATAGCCAGCTATACCAGAAATATACATTCTGTGGCCTCAGCATCTATGGTTTTACACAATTTCTCACTTTGTGAATAGACTCCTCATTAGCCCACACCTAGTGTTCTCTAATATTACATGTGCAGACGGCTACCATTTCTAAGAATCTGAAGATTCCAAAAACAAATGCCACTGTTGGGGGCTGTGTTGATTTTGAAATGGAAATGAGCACCTGGGATTTAACTAAAAGGAACCCGTGGAAGAGTTCAGGGCCTGCTAATCTGGGAACAACCGGGTAATGCACAGAGGAGCATCCCCGGCCCCCTCTCCCTCCACTGGGAGGCGAGGTGTCCACCAGCGAGGCTGCCTTCTCACACAACAACGCCAGCTGGGCTGCATTCCGGAAAATGCTGTCTGATAATCTCCTGTTACAACTTTTTGATTGGTAAACATTAGTATAGCTCCAGTGGGAACTGCCTTAAGAGAAAATAAAATCTTTTCAGCTCCAGATTGGCCAGTCAGGGACACCCAGATGCAAAGCTCATTAACTAGTTTTTGTAGGATGGAAACATTAAAAGAGGTTCCGTGACAACATACCATCTACTTTTCTCTTTAATACTGGCATTTCTGCTGTGCCTACCAAATCAAGCAAATGTCATGTCAGGGAATAAAACAATGAACATACATCACATACACACAACCCCCCCACCCCCCACCCCAGCTTCGAATCTTCCTGAATGGCTCTCACTTGTCTCTGCTGCTTTGTACAGTTTTATACTCATTTCATAAAACGCAGGATAATTCCTTACCTTTTCGTGTGAGATATTCTGCCACCAGGGCTGTTACGTGAACATAGCACATTGCTGCCTATGATAAAAGACACATGCCTCAGAATCACCATTTACAAGAGCACGTCGTCATGCTCACAGACAGAAATCTACTGAATGCATGTACTTAGATCTTGGGGAATCAACTAGTATTTCTATAGGTGATATCTTCTGAAAAAAGTGGAACCACTCACATAAACTGAAAATTTGAAAATAATTGGTAATTGAGACAAAATAGCAGTAAATTTGCTAAGGCTTGTTTCTAATTAGAATTATTACATTTTAATGTAGATGATAAAACAGCATTTTGTTCTAATGCTAATATTCCTAATATTTCTGCATCATTTCTCTTAAAGCGAAAAGAGGACCATTTGAAGAGAAGGCACATTCCTTAGATTCTGAGAGAATGGCTCAAATTTCAAATTCTAATATATTTTTCTCTTGACTTAAAAAATGAACAGGCTGTAATTTTTTCCAAACATAGAATTCTAAATAAAAATCCTAATTCGATCTTAAATGGGTAACACTACAAATATGTTAAAATGAAAGAAAGAATAAAAACTAAATTACTTTCACCAAGTTGCCATGGTATTATAAAAATCAAAGATAGCTGTTGGAAGTGAACCCAGTGTAAGGTTCTAATGCATGAGACCCTGTTCCTGCCAGCTGGGTGGCCACCACCATGTGGTACCCTCATCCAGGGCCTCGCCCCTAACTAGCCACACACCAGCAAAGACTGCTCGATGTGCATGTGTGTGTAAATACACATCGGCAGCACAGCATGCACTCTGAGCCATGCAGAGAAAAGTCTGTTAGAGAATTAGAATTATGCTGCTGCCGATCTGCAGAGGCAGGGAATTTGTTCCTTCCATCATATAACCCTCTCCACAGTACACGTCAGGAGGGTGTGCACAAAACAGCCAGGCGAATACGTGACAGTTCACCGAGCAACTACACAAAACCAGATGTGGCTGGGCAAAAAGAAATCTTGTAAATTAGCTGCTTTAGTCCCCTATTTACAGGGTGTACTGGGTTGGATAGCATCCCCCCTAAATTCATATCCTTCCTGGAACCTCAGAATGTGATGTTATTTGGAAACAGTGTTGTGGTAGACGTAAATAGTTAAGACGAGGTCATACTGGTGTACAGTGGGCCCTAAATTCAATATGACTGGTGTCATAAGAGGAGGAAAGGAGACACAGGGACACAGGCTCATGGGAGAGAATGCCATGTGACCATGGAGGCAGAGACTGGAGTGACTCATCTACAAGCCAAGGAACATCAAGGATTGTTGGCAACATGAGATCTAAAGAGACAGGCATGGAACAGATGTTCCCTCAGAATATTCAGAGAGAGTGTGGCCCTGGTGACATCTTGATTTAGGACTTCCAGCCTCCAGAACTGTGAGAGAATAAATTTCTTTTGTTATAATCCATGCAGTTTTTGGTACTTTGTTATGGCAGCCACAGGAAACTAACACACAGAGAAAATAACTGAAACAGCTGAAGTTCAGTGAGTTCTTTTTTTTTTTTTTTAAAGAGACCTGGGGGCAGGGCATGGTGGCTCATGCCTTTAACCCCAGCACTTTGGAGACAACAGAGCAAGATCATGTCTCTAATAAAAAGAAATAATAAATAAATAAGTAAATAAATAAATGAATGAGACCTGGGCCACACAAATCATTAAAAAAATCTTAGGCTGGGCACGGCGGCTCACGCCTATAATCCTAGCACTCTGGGAGGCCGAAGTGGGCAGATCATTTGAGCTCAGGAGTTCGAGACCAGCCTGAGCAAGAGCGACTCCATCTCTACTAAAAATAGAAAGAAATTAGCTGGACAACTAAAAATATATAGAAAAAATTAGCCGGGCATGGTGGTGCGTGCCTGTAGTCCCAGCTACTTGAGTGACTCAGGCAGTAGGATCGCTTGAGCCCAGGAGTTTGAGGTTGCTGTCAGAGAGGCTGACGCCACGGCACTCTACCTAGCCTGGGGAACAAAGGAAACTCTGTCTCAAAAAAAAAAAAAAAAAAAACTTAAATTCTGAGAATGATAGAAAAATTACTACTAACTACTACCACCACTGCTTAGTAACTCCTTTTTGTTATGGCTAATGTGTAGTTTATATTACATTTATGGTGAAATAACTGTCATGTTATATGTACTTTTTAGCACACTGGACTTCTTGAAAGTAAATATGTAAAAAAAAAAAAAAACGGTAAATTTTTCTGACTTAGAACATAGTTTTACTAATTTAAATAGCTATAGAAGTTTCAAAGTCAAAGCTCACTTGCTTTAGTAATACTGTTGATCCTAACAGTACTGGTACCTAAATGCCTCAGGTATAGATCCTGAAGTTCTCATGGGAACATGGAACCTGCCCTATAGCCTACTGTTTTTAATTCCCCATTTTATAGATAATGTCATCCAATCACCGAGGGGTTAAAAAACTGGCTCAATGTCACAGAGTCGGTAAATATGGGATTTTGGATTCAAAGTCTGTCTCTGGAGTCCACACACCCAACTCCCAGCCACGCAGTATATATACTTATTGCAACATGTCAGCTCTGCACAGAAGGGAATGCTCGAATATCTACTGCACCCACAAAAGGAGATGGACCACCTCAAAAAGGGGAAAGTGATGTCCTATCATTACCTTAATAATAGGAAAAATTAGTTTTACCATAAAATAGCTGAATTTTAGAACTACGGAAGAGTTTTGATGCAGAATTTGATGTGTATTTTAATCAGCAGGCAACTATATGAATGTGTATTCTTAAGAGCTTTCAAACGATGTTCTTCTGCAACAAAAATAATCCCTTATGATTTGTTTTAAATTATCGAAATATCCAGATAATTATGAGGTCACCCTAAGCCTAATACTATTTAAAGTATTGCCTATTTTTAATTCCCTGTTTTCGATGGAGGGGGCAATTTTCCTCAAAACTGGCTTCATTTAGTGAATGGGGCATCACTTTTCTCAAAAACCCGCGTCAAGCGGCTGGCAGGGGTACCTCTGAGAGATCCCCGTTTTTGACGTGGATCCTGGCCATGCTGTCGAGCCACGTCTTCCTGAGCTCGGGGGTGCTGGCGTAGGACTTGGCTAGACTGTACTGGAGGTCCACCAGCATCTCCGGGTCATTCTCATGCTCCTTCATCTGGGCGGTGGCCATCAGAACCGTGCGTATCCTTTTGGTCAAGTCCTTCACGTCGGAGGAGAAGCTGGTGTGCTAAAGCAAGGGTGGAAGAAGGAAGGACACGTGGAGCTGTCTGCTTTCGCCTGTCCACACGCACCTCAGAGGACGAGGCAGAGTCTTGGGGTGAAAACGAACACAGGGCCGCGCCACCCACCTTGATCAGACGGTCACTGTTGGCGCAGTTGTTGATGATGGACAGGGACTGCTGGAATCTGGTTCCCCCAATGCCGACGACATCTGCTATCAGCTGGCTGACGGAAATAATGACCTAGGGACACACAAATGCCAGCAAATCAATTCCCCTTCAAATGACTGCCCAGGCCAGGTTTCTGTGTCCAGGTAGGAGGTGCCTGGGGACAGGGTGAAGGTGGGATGCTTTGAGCAGGGATCACTCCAGACTAGGAAACGAGGTCAGGGGCATTTTTTCCCCATTTTAAGAATTATTCCAGAAGGTGATTTTGCTATCCCTAAGTATTTCATTTGCAAAGCTAAATGCTAATGAGGAGACTATAGGAGAAGGAGGATCAGCTCACCTCATACCACTTGGATACTTACTTACCTATTACCTTCTCTAATAAAATGAAGACCTTACTATTTATCACCTCAGTTTTCAGTTTGAACTTACATGTATTAAACAAGCAATAGGTAGATTTCCTTTTGCATTTTTATCAGAAAATATGTACATACTGACTGTGCAACAGGGGACACTGCCTTTTTTTGGGGTCTATGAATAGCACCGCCTTTACCCAGCTGCTCGAGCTAAAACATAAAGGCCATCCTTATTTCCCCCTTTGCCTTCACCACACCCAGGTACAATCAATCACCAAGTATTATCAACTCAATCTCCTCTTCTTTCTAACCTCACCATCCCTGATTCAGGACACCCCTCTCTCTGTCCTAGATGTGATAACAGTCTCTCTAACTGAAGTCTAGACTCCTCTGATCAGTTCTCAACACTGGATCCAGGAGATCCACCAAATACGCTATGATTTGGATACACAATGATGTGTACTCCTCGACACCTTCTCACTCACATTCTCAACTCCACAATAAGGAACTTCTCCAGCTCCTCAGAGGGGCCCTTCCCATGGTGAATCCATGGCCTGGAACATGTTCACTACTCTGCAACTGCTGACCCCTTTCAGCCCTCACGTCCTCTGGGAAGCCACCCCTTGTCCCCTGGCCAGGTGCTCCTCCTGGTGTACTCAAATTCCTCTATGATAGCACTGGCCACATTGCACAGAGAGACCTCCATGCAGGCCGGGAGAGGGTTCTCCGTTGTTCATGCTTGTATCCATGAGTCTTAGCATGTAGTAGCTTAGTTCTCAGAGCAGAGAACTTAGCATATTTTAACTTTTGAGAGATAGCAGATGTGTTCCGTAGCTAAAAGACAGAAAAGAATCACATTGGTTGGGCTTTTGGTTTCTTACCTAAGATGTTTACTATTGTGCATTCTCACATAGGCTCTGGAATTTCTTGACTCGATAGCATTTCCAATGCTGATTCAATATTTAAATGTGGATTTACCAAAAGAAACACATCTTGGGCCCAGATCTTAACAGCAGAGAGCATGAAATAAACCAAGCCAGCAAACATGACTGCCCAGTTTTCCATCTTGGGGCCAGATCTCGCAGTATCTTTATGATGAGGTAAATTGGTAAACGTGATACTCAGTTTTCCTGCTAGAACAGGATTCCACGGAGTAAATCTGCATAGGAAAGCTAACCCACACGCACTTGCAGATGTGTCCGGACGAAGGACTTCTTTCCAGTGTAGTCAAAGTTGTTCCTCATCAGGAAATAGAGCAGCTGCGAGGCCTCGGTTCTGATGGAGCTCAGCTTGGAGTTACAGCACTTGAGAATCTCATAGCACAGAGCGGCGCACATGTCCGCTCTCCCTTCGTAGAACGTTGAGGGGAACTAGCGGGGAGGAGAGGAAGCAGAGAGAGCACAAATAGGTCAGTGCTCGGTAATGTGCTCTGCAACTTCAGGTGGAAGGACAAGAGTGTGGCCATCGCTGATGAAGCAACTTACCTTATAAATTAAGGACCTTAAGGCAGTGAAGACATTTTTTAAAGCCGTTTCTGACTGATGTTTTTGAAGAAAACATAGGTAGACGTCAAAAACTTTTTTCATGAGAGGATTATGTCCATGGTCAGCCAAGAGCTGGTTCTTAAAACACACATTGACGCCTTTGTTAGTAAGACATACCAGACACTCTAGTAGGTTTTACACAATTTTCAGGCTCAAAGATTACATTTTCCAAGTGTTAAGACAAGTCATAATTTAAACAAACTCTGCTATGAATCCTTTAGGAAACCACAGCATTCTCTTGTAAAACAAACAAATCTACTATCAATAAATTTATGCTTTGGGGATAAACCTTCCAGAAAACTGTACTATAATTTAAAGGATCACTGTTGTTTAGTACTAATTGGGCTTCAATTTATTTACTTAGTTTTACTGTACACCAGCAACTGATACAGAGGTGATGTTTGTGACATCTTAATTCCAACAGATAAATGTCATTTATAGGTGTGAGCTATTTACGAGGGGGAAAAAATACTGAAAGAAACAGGGCCTCTAAAAGGGGAAGTTTCCCCCAGGCTTCTCAGGCACTTTGCTAAGCTATGAATAATCAGACAGCTTGGTAACATGGAGAATGTACAGGCTTTGGTTGGGCACCATTTATCATGTGCGCATATTTGCACAGGTAAACTGAGTCTCGGCATTCTCATCTATAAAAAGACGACTCTAAAACTGACCTTGAATGGCAATTGTGAAGACTCGAGGTCAAGTGTAGAAAGTGGCTGATGCATACTTTGGTCTAGCTCAGTAAGCAGCAGCTAGCAGGATTTTAACATTTCACAGATTTTACTACTTATCAAACAAAACAAGAGGACCACAATTAATTGTTCCTAATCATTCTTCAAGATTTCCTCACCTCAGTAGAAAATTCACACTAATTAATCACTTTGGAAGCCTGGCTGGCTAAAATTCCCATCAACTGCAGAATATACACAGTAGCTAGAGGTGCAGCCCAGCAAGAAGCCAGCATGGAGCTTCATGTCTAAACGTGTGTGACACTAATGAGCAATGGCTTCAAATATGGACAAGTCTATATGCACAAAGGTATGTGTTTGGGAAGACTACATGTGTGTATTTTGCATAAGTAGGCAAAAATGACTGTAATAAAAAAATGTCAAGAGGCCAGTATCTCAAACTATTCTTATAATTTGGACAAATGAATAGGGATAACTTACGTCCACATAATTTTGCTACATAACAAATTATGGTTGGGACTATAGTTTCAGAGCAAGATTTACCTCATCTTATTGTTGGAGGGAAAGTTTTACTCAAGGTATACATTTTAGTTTTTTAGGTCCAGAGAATTGCAGATGTATCACAGCTGTGGAACACCTGGAATTCAGTGATCTTTATTTCATGAAATACTTAGGTACCATAGTGAATTCCATCACGTAAAAGAGGACCACTTTAATAAGCAGAAAACATGACTAATTAAATGAATATGATACAATTCTCAACTATGAGCAACTGTTCAAAAAGAGAGAGAGAGAGAAGAGATTTTTTCCAATGTTTGGGGAACTGCTTACATGTTCTACTGTCTGTGAACACCATTTTTCTAGGAGCCATAGTTGGAAAGCCTTGCTTTTCACAAGGAATTTTCTTTCCTAATTGTGGCAGGGTTAAATAAGGTTTGGGTGAATCTGGAAGTGAGCTTTCATTTTTCTCAGTACTCTTCATGGGAGCTTTCCAGGAGAGATGGTTCCTACAACTACCAACCCCTCCCTGCCCATTCCTGCTGTTTGAAATGGCCCTGGTCTGCAAGCTCTCACTACTTGAGTTCTGTTTCTCTTCCCCTCACTCATTCTGGTCAAGGCTTTTGCTTCCCATTTCCAGGATTTTGTCTTCTTGGACTCCAATCTCAAAACTTCCTTGCAAGAATGGTGTAAAAATTCATTTACATTATGTATCCCATAACCTACTGTAAACCTCAAATACACACAATAAAATTTACTTTAAAAAAAGAAGTAAATAACCCTTCATTTGAAAGGTTTGTAAAGGACCTCTCATCCTGGATATATCCCTGTTTCCCAGCTACCTTCCTTTATTTTCCAATCAATTTTCTTCCCTCTTTCTCTCTCTCTCTGTTGCTTTCTCATTAATTAGAAAGTAACATACACTACATGCAAACAAATCTTTGAACATTCAGAAAGGCCCACAGGGGAAAAAAATCCAGATAAAAATCACCCATAACTTCTCCACTCAGAAATAACTGCGGATAACAACATGGTGTAATCTCAATTCTATTAATACCTTTTTATCCCTAAAGACTCTTACTGAGGATGGGGTAGTTTCAGTTAGGAAATTAAGTGAGATATTAGAATAATATAAAGGCAAGACTTATTTCTAGCAATAAAGTAGAGACTAATTCTCCAGGAACTGTCTGTCATGGGTTCAGGTTTAACTGTAACAAAGTCTGTTATGGTGTTTAACCCAGGAAATGGGCCTTTTAGGGAACAAAAACTCAATATTAGTAATTGCTGAAGATCCAGGAACACAGAGGAAAACAAACTTAAACCTTACGTGTCATGATGAGATATGTGGAACAAAGTTATTTAAGACAGCTAAGTCTTTCTGAGGCATATGGCATTTATTTTTATTTAGACATTGATTTAAAAATAACTTTAAAAAATTCAGCTTGGAGAAGAGTTGTTTCAGTTGCACATGCTCGTCAATCACTAAGATGACCTAGATCTCATATGCCTTTGTAGCCCAGGGTCATGGCTATGCAAACCGTATCACAAACTCCAACCACTTGTGTGCTCCTCACTCTTTTGGTTCCAACTGTTCCTATAGTTATATGTTAGTTCTCACTGTGTAGATCAAATAAAAAAAGGCTCTAAATGGAATTGCTAAAAATATATTTTCAGATTAAATTTGTGAACACATTAAACATATTATACAATAGTTAAAGGCCAGCATTGATTTGGGACTGTGTTAATAGGAGGCACTGTAAAATAGCCACAGAAGAACTGTATTTTTTGCGTGTAACTACCTTACTTTACAAAACACACTCTTTTATGTATTAAATGGCATAATGTATGTGAAAGTGCCCAGCACGGTATCTGGCAATTGATGAGAGCTTGGTAATTTTCTTCTTTCTCTATACGAGAGATCATTTAATTACCTTGATATTCACTCAGCTCCTCTCTCTCTCTCTCTCTCTCTCTCTCTCTCTCATATACACACATAACACACACACATTCACACAAACACCTGACTCAGTGGAATGACTCAAGGTCTTGGGCAGGCCAGTTGTGTAGTGATCTTGGGCAAATTTCCTACCTTGTCTCAGCCTCAATTTCCCTGTCTGTAATATGTGGGATAATCAGATCTACTAGGCAGAGCTGTTATGAAGATTAATGCCTGAGGCACAGAAGGCACTCAATAGATAGCAGGAAGCTAATATAATAATACATAACAACCAGCAGCCAGGGCTTAAATCTTTCAAACATTTTACCTTATTAAGACATTGATTTCTAGATTGTCTTTGGCAACTTATTAGATGTGGTCAATTAAGAGAGTCAGCAAAGACAGGGCTACATCTGTCAAAGATGATTTTCTTGCACACAGTGATGTCAGCTCACTCAATGTTAGCATTTTTCTGATAAGCTTTAACTGATGCCTCAGTTGAGTAAATATCTGCAAGGAAGATCCCAGTGGCTGCTGTGCCAGTGGACCTCACACATCTGGGAGTCTAGGCCAGGTAAGCCTGTCCTACCACTGGGCCCAAAACCCAGTAATGCCACATTTGCACCCTACATTTGCCCCCTTGCCATTCTTTATGAGGGGTGCTGAGCTTTAAACATGAAACATTTTTGCACACAGACATACAGACTTTAACAGAGATTGTCTTAGTTCTAAAGCTCAATCTTCCTTGGGCATTTCAGGGATCAAGGCCCTTTACCATAAGGACCAGAAAGGAGCCAACACAGGAAAAAGTGCTTGTTGCTAACCTTGAGTTAACACTTAAGCTCCTACTACATAGTAGCTCCAGTCCCAGGATAGATGTTTTTGGATACTTCACGTCAACCCATTTGTACTTCCACCTTATAGAGTAGGCATAATTGCCATGTTTTAGGTAAGGAAATCAGCACTATGAGATGTCAAGTAGACACAGCCTGAGGCTGAAAAGATGGCTAATGGTGGAGCTAGGATCTAGAGACCACTGTATCTCCATACACGCTGTCTCCAAGTGTACTGGAGCCTGGTATACACCAGCAATGTGGGAGGCCCTCTCAGGGGTCATCTCTCTTAAAACTCACAACAGCCCTGTGAGGTAGAGCCCATTTTTCCAACCTTACAGATGAGAAATCTTAGGTGTGCAGATACCAAGTATTACTAATAATTCTCCCAAAGATACTCAGCCCATAAGTGTCACAATCAGCTTTGAATCAGAAGTCATCAGATGCTATTTGTTTTTCAGGAGCCAGAACCTACCTGGTGACCAGACATTTGGAGATCTGGGAACCTTGACAAATACTCTGCTTTGATGTTAAGCAAGCAATTTAAAGAGGCACTGGGTAAGAAGTGCAGGCTGTTCAGTAAGAAAATGATCACTATTCTCGGCGGTGCCACCCAGGCTGCACTTGGCTGCATGTGCCCTTAGTTCACACTGTGATGCCAGCTCTGCACCTGCTCTGTGGCTCCAGAATTTCCTGCTTTTAAATGTTGGGACACAGGCAGAGAGTGGAAGAAAGTGTTGCAACTGCAGTTCTGAACTTAAGGATTTATGTTTAGCACTGATACAGGTGTGCGTGACCAAATATCACATTCAAAACCTTTGCTACCTATTTCTATAAGAACTTTTACCTAAAAATACCCAAAAGAAAATACAGGTTCCAAAATCTCTTTCATGGTTATAGTAGAACCGTGGTTCTCAAGCTGTAGTGTTTGGGTCTCATGCCAAGGGTTTCTGATTCAGTAGGTCTGGGTTGGGCCTAAGAATTTACATTTCTAACAGGTTCCCAGAGGCTGCAGCTGCTGCTGGCCTGGAGACAATGCTTTTAGAGCCACTGTAGTAAAGGCTCCATGTAACAAGGCACTGCTCTCCTCCAGCCCACTCCATACTCATTCTATCAGGGTTTGTAATTTCCTCATCTCTCAACCGGGTTCCTAGTAATGACATTTCACAGGGACATGAATGAGGTGGTGGCTAAGGAGAATAAAGATATATTAAAATAAAGTGACATAATATCAGGGAAACAATTTTTACCCTTCCATATAAAGAAATGTGCTTTATGAGTAGTGGGGATAAGTAAAACAGAATGACTTTGCAAATTTGCAAATATCCTTGCAAACAAACAAACTGTTTCAATCCTCAAAGCATATTAACAACAATTCAATTTCCCCTTCCTATGCTAGCAATGGAAGTAATCATTTATCAAGAATGGGAAGTGTTAGGTTCCTAAAAATAAGAGAGTGGCTGAAGAGTCCGCCTCTATTTACTTGAATATTACTTGCTAAAACTTAAAACCTAGACCAAAAAAACGCTTTCATTTTCTATCTCTGAAAAGTTTTTTGTCAATTTAATTTAGTAACAGATAAAATTTGAACAAATAAATGTGTATTTATTGCTCCTCTCCCTATAAATATCTAATTTTAATTGCTATAACATTTGGATATGTTTAAAGGTATTCAAGGCAGAGATGCCTGATTAGGTCCTTATATTTATCACCCTCAAGGTTCTAGCCAAGAGTTAGCTGCCTCCAGAGACTGTGTTTCCACCATGTCCACCATGGCACACGATGACCAGTCAGACCTTATCGTATTCAAGTAATTCACTGTGGAATCATTTCTTTAAAGGAATTTAAGGATTAATAGTTTCTTTACAGGGGCAAAAACAGTTGCTGAAGTAAAAATACAACACAGTTTGCGCTGGTTGAGCTTAATAAGCAGAATGAATTTAAAAGGTAAAAACTCTGCCCATGAGCAAGCTGTTCGCTACTAACCTTAAATGCCAGTGTAAACAGGGAGAGAGTGTCCAGAGCCGTAAGGCAAACCTCAGTAGCAATGTTGGCTTCCAGCAATGACTGGTGAAGGACATCTGCGTCCGAGTGGCCATAGCCTGCGTGAATTATAGCACAAGATTACTGCCCTGTGGCTCACACCGCAGGGTGGCAGGATGGGACGGTCACAGTCAACTTTTGATTATTTATAGAAGGCCCACTTTGGAGCCTTACCTGTCTTTTTTTAGGGGGGCAGCAGGGGAGTATTAATAATGTCTCCATTCAATTATAACTCTTTTTCAACTCTGGAAGGGCAATAACAACAGCAAACATTTATTATGTGCTTGCTGTGTGCCAGCCATGATTCTATGAACTTTACATGTATTATCTCATTTAATCCCTCAACAGCCCTATGAAGTCTGTACGTTATTAAACCCTTTTTGCAGATAAGGAAACAGAGGCACAGAAAAGCTAAACAACTCGTCTAAAGTCACACAGGTAGTAAACAGTGGAGCCAGGACTCCCAGCAAGATAGGCAAGGGACACTTCAGCGACTTGGCAGGAGTGCTGAGGAAGGCTGAGATCCCAAAGCAGGTGGCCGCACAGCACAAGGTTCAGAAAATGAGCCTGACATTAGCCTGCTAGTCCCTGAATACAGCTTGCACTTACCAGCTGTGCAACCCTGGGCAAGTTCTCTGGCCTCTTTACACCCTGGTTTCCTCATCTGTAGAATGAGGATAATAACAGTATCTACCTCGAAGGCTTGGGGTGAGGATTAAATTCATTAATATTTGTGAAGTTCTTAGAATAGTGCCTGGCACGTGGTGAGTGCTGGAAAAGGGTTAAGTCAGTAATATCAAGATCTGCATTATCAGCTAGAATCATAAATGATAACCAAGAGTTGACTGCACTGCTAAGAATATTCTATTCGCTTTAATAAAAAGCCTAAAAGCCAGTATGTCTGAAAGAAATGTTTAGGAAAAGAAAAGGACTTGAAGAATCTGTCATTTAAATTTAATCCACAAAATTTAAATACAAACTGAAATCTTCTATATATGGCTATAAATCAATTTAGTACTAATATAAATGCACTTTGACACACAATTTGAGATATTAAATTATGAAATGGTATGCATTAGCAGAAATACATATAGGAATGCAAAGATGTTACAGTATTGATCTAGAGTACAAAGAAAGATGTCAATATAATAAAACACCATGTAATGTCTTTCTCCAAGGAGCAAAAATCAATCAACACTTATTACTTAAGTAATTTTCCTAATACTCCAGAGAGGAGGACATTTTGTATACAGATCAAGAAAATGAAGTACAGAAAACCTAGGGAATTTTCTTGAGACCAGTAATGGGCAAAAAAAACTACACTCCAAATTCCTTACCCTGGTCATATGTATCATATTACATATTATTAGGAGAAAATAAAGAAACTAGCATGACATCATTTTGACTTAAATAAGTGTTAGAAATATAGAATGTGTTTTAAAAGGCTACAAATAACCTCATTAAAGCTACAGAAGTGCTTTTTAAAATATGATAGTAACACGATTATGTGCTTTTATCCAACTTTGCTTTGCTTTTACAACGGTAGTTCTGAGGCTGCATGTTTGCGGCCGCATTACTTCCACTCTGCAGCACAGCCAATGTCTGTCTTTAGCGAGGATGTGTAACACGTTTGGCAGCACGCTACTTCTATTTCTTTTTATTTGTGCTTTTTGAGTAAGAAATCACCCAGGGAAAAGAAAGATGGATGTGTTGGGGTACTAATATTAATCGTACTGCCTTCACATAAGCCAAGGCACTACTTCAATCAGTGAGGCTTGGTAAGATACAGAGACAATGAAAGAGGAAAGCAGATTGATGATTATTGTTAAAGTGACCACAACTGTGGTAAGGGGGAAAAATACAACACCTGTCATCAGACCAACCAAAATCATCACACAGGTCAAAAGGACCCTTAATGAGGGCTGCCATTTGCCCCAAATGAGTTTGAGTCTGGGTTAAATTTTGACAAGGAACTTGCTTTGATTATTTTAACTTCTTTCTCTGAACAGAACTATCCCTTTCTTTTTCCAGATAACCTAGTGGCGAAGTGCATCCAGGTGATCATTATAGATGAGATGGCCTGAAGAATTCCCACCGAATTTACCTACTTCTGGCTGAAAGTCCGGAACAATTAAAAATTAGAATTTAGAGATACGCTTTTAAAACATATATAATCAATGGGCTGTGCTAATTAAGTTTTTATATAATTCTGTATATATGTGTGGAAATGTGGTAATGACAAAATTTCTCTCAGCTATTACACCACCCAGAAGCTACTGTACCGTCTGTCTAATCTCCTTCAGAGTAAGAGTCAGAATCTGACTACCCTTGTCTGAGTTGTACAGGAATCTAAAAGAAATGGTCCTTTTAGCCACAAGTTGTTATACTTTGCTTTTCCTTAAACTGTTCCATCTCAAAAATCAGCAGGATTCCTGAGCTAATGTCATTTTTAAAAATCCCTAAAAATAGATGGCAGCAGAGAGCAGCTGTCCCCACCATAGGGACTGGAGATCGTACATGAGTGAGGAAGACTTAATCAACGATCACCGTATTATCGACCGACACAGTAAAACAAAACTGAGCTAGGAAATCCAAGAAGGAGATCTCAAGAGGCAGAGAAATTTCTTAAATTAAGGGTCAGCAACTTTCCAAAAGCAGGTTAAGCAGCTTCTGATCAGGCAAGCAAGGAGTGCGGTACTGATTTCCACCAGGGGGCAGAGGTGTGGCTCCGCACTGACACCCTGTGCCCTTGATGGAAGGGACGGAGGGGAAGGACTCTACGGATGTGCCTTCTCCTGCACACGCGTTCTGGGCTGCATTAGAACCCTTTGCATTCACTGCTTAACTTTACACGATTTTCACCCTATTGTCACTCTGAGAAAAGACTTACTGTAAAAGCCCCAAACCTTTTAAACACTCCTGGGCTAAAGACAAGATTTTGCCCCCTGATGTCATCTGCTATGTTTAGATTTAGTTAATGTTACTCTGTTTTATAAATTCATGTCACTGGAACAGCTCAGTTCAATAACGCTGAGCACATCTGTACACTCTTCCTCCCTCCCACTGCCCTGACGTGAGGCAACACGGTGGGCAGGACAGAAGCCGGATTCCGGGCCACACGAATGTCAGAGGACATTTGGGACAGAAGAGATTAGATACACATCTCCATAGGAGGCACTTCCATTTCGATAGCTGCCTTCACCCTTCATGAAACAAGAATTCTTGTTTTCATTTTGACTTTTTTCTTCAGGCCCATAATTTGAATCCAGGAAAACAGTAACTTTTATGAGAATATAAATGCTGAATGATAAGGAATCTTCTTGCTGAAAAAATTCCCCAAATGCGGAAGACCTAGTCTCCTAGCTATATTCACCCATGGTATATGGCTTTACTAAGTGCAAATATTTATGCAAAATATCGAACTGGTCAGCTTCTACACAATCTACTATTCATTTCCATCCCATTTTTATTGCTAAAAACATTTTCCTCACAGATGGGCAAGAAGTAGAGAGCAGAATAAGAAATAATATTCCAAGGTAAAAATATGTGACTTGCTGCCTGCCTTTTGATTCACACACTAAAAGTTTGTACTTCAGGAAGTGGGTGTCATGCCATCAGCTCTCTCTTCCCTGTGGAGCTCTTCAACCTAACATTGAACTGTATCTAAAAATGGGACTTCGTGTGAGCTATAGACCCCAATGTGTAAACACACTCGGTTTAAGCACACCATACATTTTAAAGTCCTCTTTAAGGACATTACACATAACTGACTTTAAAAGTGCACAGTACCAGACTTTCTCAATTTCGAGAGCCCATCAATGGCAAGAAGCATCCATCAATGACAGACTACCATAGCAGATGTAATATGGAAGATATATCCAGATTTTAGAAATATTAGAAAATGTGCAAAAATGTGCCTCAGAATCAAGGAAACAGGTTTATAAACAAACATTTCATTTACTATCTTGAGCCTATACTTTCAAAGCATCCAAGTACATTTTACTCAATTCTAAAGCTATGTCATGCATGCTTAGAAACTTTTGAAAAACATTAATTTTAACTCAGAGATCTACATGTTCTCTGTATTTTTTAATATTAATTCAATGTTATGTACAGTAAAGGAATTTAACGATCATCTATATTCATTTTCTTGTGCTTCACAGACACCAAAGAATGTCAGAGTTAAATGAAGGTTCACAAGCCACATCTTTCAACTCCTCATTGGACGCTTAAGTGACCTGGACAATGTCCCCAGCAGGCCCTCATGCAGTCTGTTTTCACACATCCAGCTACAGGCAGCTCAGCACCTGCCACCACGGGCAGTTCCGCTAGAAAACGCTTTCCAGTACTGACGTGAAATCTAATGCTCTGCAACTTAACCCCATGACCTTAAGCTGCCTGCCTCTTATACTGAATTGCATTAAATATAGGTTTTAGTCACGTGTTCCCACCTCTTGGCTGACTTTCCCCCAGTCACACCAGCAGGCAATACGAATTATCATGCAATGAACTGAACATATTCCCAGAACACCACATAACATCAAAGTAAATATAAAGTGTTATTTTACATAATTTTTGCAAATGTTTCACTTAGTTCCCGCTCACAGTGTGGTTTGTATATTTTACATGTAGTTATCACTCTCAATTTTCTCCCCATAATGGGGTTTATTTAAAATAATCTACACGTAGCTTTCACTCTCAATTTGTCATTTGACACAAATCTCTTCTACTGACACACAATGCGTACAAGTTAAACTCAGTAGGTCAATGCATAAATGTTCTAAAGATTTACTTTTTATATTCTTGGGCAATGACCCAAACAACAGTCCTGTTCTTTTTTTTTTTTTTTTGAGACAGAGTCTCACTCTGTTGCCTGGGTTAGAGTGCCGTGGCTTCAGCCTAGCTCACAGCAACCTCAAACTTCTGGGCTCAAGCAATCCTCCTGTCTCAGCCTCCCAAGTAGCTGGGACTACAGGCATGTGCCACCATGCCCGGCTAATTTTTTATATATATATTTTTAGTCGTCCAGATAATTTCTTTCTATTTTTGGTAGAGACGGGGTCTCGCTCTTGCTCAGGCTGGTCTCGAACTCCTGACCTTGAGCGATCCACCCGCCTCGGCCTCCCAGAGTGCTAGGATTACAGGCGTGAGCCACCGCGCCCGGCCTAATCCTGTTCTTTAAGAGTGTTTTTCAAATAGTTGAGACTATCTGGCCACAGCAGGATTTGCCATTTTCGTTATTTCCCAGAAAAATTAAAGAGTTAAGGTAGTCCTTGCCACAGTTACATGTGTAGCCCATGTGGTGCCTTGTTCCACGCGCTGCTATCTGTGGGTGATGGGGCCAGACCTAAAAGGACTCAGTTTTTCACGGTCCTCTGCTGCACCCTGCTGGTCAAGCTGAGGTTGACAAAGCCTTTCCTATTGTGACAGAGAGGAAGTGAAGCAGATAGATCCATTAGGGTCTCTTCCTATTTTGATTCATTTCTGAAATAAATTCATTTTAGACTCTGGGGTATCCCTGGAAAGTCTCTCATGTAAGGATTTATGTCATATTGGTTGGCCCAACAAGAAGGTATTGTATTCATTGTTAAATATGATTTTTAGAAGAGATATATATGGCCACAAATTTCACATAAAATGCCCAAGTACAGATGTAAACCAACATGTATGTATGCATGCATATACATGTTCAAACACACATGCATACATACAATGCACACCCTCTTTGCTGTTTGTGGCTGAGTTGATGATACGGAGCTCAAAGAGCTAGCACAGGGAAAGGCTAAAGCCACTCGAACACAATGAGGATTAGAGATGCACATGAAAACTGAACTCTAGGAGAAGATGAATAACTTCAGAGATGTTAAAACCAATTTGGATGAGCAGGAATAGTGGGAACACAGGCGCAGGCTACATGCTGTCTACTGGCAAAGCAGAACACATGACTGAGGACAGTGTGCCACTGACAAAGGACGGAAGCAAACGCGAGAAGCTGAAAGAGGAGGCAGGGGGACGAGGCTCTCTGTGGGTAGCTGGGAGAATGGAGATCAACTATGTTAGCAAGAGGGCATTTGGCAGCCACACAAGGCCAGCTGTTCCTCTCCTCCAATTCAAGCGGCCATACAAAACCCATTTGCAGTGGGAAAAGCTGCTGCATATCTGAGTGGGTTATGGTTATTTATTCACATGTGGATCATTCATTTAATTTTTGTTTTCTGTGTTCCCTAAACGATTGTCTTTAGAGGTGGGGCCTTGGTCTCCATATGATTTTTTTTAAAAAGTGCTTCAAAGTTTAGCATTTATTTCAACTGACAGCGAGTTGATCTCTGAGTTATATAAATTATCTGAGCAAAGGGAGTCCAGCAGGGGACCGGGGATTGAATTTCTGTTGCTAAATAGGAAATGAAAACTAAAAATTACGAAACTCCTGGTTGTGTTTGTTTCAACTCCTTGTCTACAGAGCTAGAAAAAGCTCCAACAGGTAAGATGTTAAAAAATCAAGTATTATAGCCTTAAATGTGTCATAAAATGTACATTCTACAGCTAAGTATGGAACTCAGAACTAGCACTTTATGGCTACCAATTCAGTGTGTGGCGTACTGACATAATATTGTTAAATTAGGCCTAGAATTTTACAGACTATACTCATTACATTTAATCCTGTTGGGGTGGAGGAGTGGGAAGCCACTGGGTTTTGGTTCCTCATTTGTCTTACTTTGAACTATTATCGACACAAGGTGTTGGGAATGTTGCCTTTACTCTTAGCCTGCACCAAAAAAAAGGTATGAAAAATCACAGTGAGTGGAATTCTTATAATTAGAAGTGATGGGAAGTTATTAATAACCATGCATTAAAGACGGCACTGGAAATGAGAATAATGGTCTAGATAAAACAATAGCTAGCTATGCCATGCTTGGAGAGGAGATGAACGGTTCAGAGAACACGATGCTAACAGAAATGGGATTTATTATAAATGATCACACAAATTTTTCATGTGCTGCATGGTTTGTTTTTGTTTTTTCTTTGAGACAGGGTCATACTCACTCTGGAGTACAGTGGTGGCATCATTATAGCTCACTGTAGCCTTAAACTCTGGGGCCATGCCTGGCTAATTTTTAAAAACTTTTTGTAGTGACAGGGGTCTTGCTATGTTGTGCAGGTTGGTCTCAAGCTCCCTGCCTCAAGCGATCCTCTTGTCTCGGCCTCCCAAAGTGCTGAGATTACAGGTGTGAGCCATCACACCCGGCCATGCATGCTTGATGTCTTTTAGGTTTTCTGCTTTGAGAAACCCTTAAGAAATGAAACACATTTCTAGAAATAGCACACAATGCCACGTCCCCCCCTCTGGTGACTGATAAAAGTAAATTAAAAATATGCTCCTACATTTTGGCAGAATCTCTATTGTGAAATTAGAAAGCCCCAAAGTTAGGAAGGCAAGATGAACAAAAAGGTCTTGGCTTGCAAGTGAAGCGGCCTCATAAGCAGACTTCAACCTGATTAAATCTTACCATTGTCTACAGAAATTCCAAGCACACTTGATATCTTTCTCACACTGAAAACACAGAAAAAGTCACTTTGTTATTGGACGCTTTTCCACACCCTTACAAATTGATTCACGGGCTTTATGTTTTCATAGCAGTGAAGGATTAACATCCATCCAGAGCTGGAATGTCAGAATGTGGACGCTTGATCAATTACATGCACGGGATCAGGACAGGTGAAATGAGTCTGTCCCAGAGGTTCTCAGGAGTGGCAGGGCAAAATCGATGATAAGTTGGCCATAGGCAATGAATCCAAACATTATGGTTAAAATACTAGAAAACGTCTGGCTACTGAACCTGCCAAATTTCGTTTTGGGGACAGGGCAAAGGGTCTAGCACTTTTAGGTTTGGTGCCGTAGTTGAGCATGTTCCACATTGTGTCACTCCCAAATGCTGAGCACTCTCCTCCAAGGAAGGGAACTGTGCCATGAGCTCTTCATCCTACTTGCTTTGAGCTGTAAGAAAAATCGAGTTGGTCACGTGGTATGGTGTGGCCTGGGGCTCTCCCCTCTGAGATGGCACATGAGATGGCTGGCTGTTACGATGGTATGTCATGGGACTTACTGTGGTTAAAAGTGAGAGAGTTATCCAGGCTGCCCAGCTGCTGCAATCTGGCATGCATCATTCCTGTTCTGTTACGGGAAACAGGCAATGTCTGAGATTTTCGATCATGAACTATGGGTCCCAACCCCTCCTGGTTCCTGCAACATGAGTGAAATGGGATAGAAGCAAAAGTTAGACGTGTTACACCGCAGCAAGACGGGGAGCGTTAGTGAAGCCACGACATGGCATGAAGGAGATGGCCACACACTGACCGAGCCAGCGGAGCAGCCAGAGACACAACCAGGCGGCAGCTCTTAAGGTATTCACAGCAAAGCACCTGACAGCCCAGAAGCAAAAATCAGGCCAAAGCGGAGATCTTTTTCATTTTCATAAAGTACTTTAGAGATGCTACTTTTAAGAAAGTGAGCATCACTCCAACATAGTGCTGAAGGTTAGGGTTCCGACAACTGTCAAAACATCATTAATCTTTTTGGATTATATATGTTCTAAAGGAACAAAAACATTTTTTCAAATTGAAAAATGCATTGGAAGAAACAGAGAATGAACATGCAATGGGAGGGATTATATGAAGCAGTTTGAACACCTTTATTCTTACCCAAGCAGGAAGGAGAAGAGCCACACACTTTGTTAAACTTGTCAGCGGTCAAGTAGAGAAAACAGAAAAGTGATCTGGGTTAGCAATCAAACAGCTAACTTCCTACTGTGTACCATCACCAGAGCAGATGAAAACGAGACCAGTGCTGGAGTGACACCTATCCCCGTCCCAGAGCCAACCGTTCCCCTCATCACGTTATTGTGTGTAGGACAACGGGGACATGCATGGACTTTCACTGACAGCATGCTGCTGGGTGATCTCAAAGTGAGGATGAGAAGGCACAGTGTTCATCAAACCCGACCACCACGGATGGCAAACATTGACAACGTCCACATTATAGTTATAGGATCTTTTTCGCATGCAGCATAGACCATGGTAATTTTTGTATAAAGCAAGGCGTATCTTTCCACAGCACATGGAACAAAGTCACATCATCTCCATGCCTGTCTTCCTCTGCCCATCTATTTTTAAGGCAGTCCATGATTTTATATGCAAATATATACAGGGTGCTTATGAAGTCAAAAGATTTTCTTCTAAAAAGTTAAATTTATATCCCCTGAAAAAAATAAGTTAAACACTTCACAAAACCCAACTCTAAAATATTTTGTCGAGACATTAATCTTCGGCTTCCCACATTCACCATTTTAAGCTCTGAAGCATTTTATTCTACGTGGCACAACATTCTCCAAATGCCATCTTGTTAGGTAGGTGACGGTTACTGCAAAAAGCGTGTGAAGCTCGCTCAGCACAGTGCCTTTCTGTTATACAATATACGTTTGCCCAAACCTTCACAGGGCAAAGTCGAAGAGAAATTCTAAAAGGCAACGTATGAGATATTGTTGGTATAAAGACACCTTGTATATACTTGCATTTGGTACTTGAAAACTCAAATATAAAAACTAATAAAAAATAAAAGTTAAAATAAGAGAACTTTAAGTGTTACCACATTTTGATTAAAAATAGAAAACATGAGGAAAGCACAAAATAGCCTAAATTTGCTTCTTTTTAAAAGAAAACACATATATTTATTGCTTAACATAAAACATAATTCTGAAAACTTTTCATATATCCTCAGAAAAGAACAATGTTAACATAAAAAGAAAATCTTCACCATCAATAGAAAGTCTATTAAAAAATCTCTGTCCTATTTTATTACTATAATATAGAAGTACAGACATGAGAAGCAAACTTCAATTAGAATTCAATTTTAAAGTTTTTCTTGAAACATAAATATCAGCTTATTTACAATTAGGTTGTTAAAAAGAATAGGAGAAAAATATAACACTAGACCAAGACCCCAGAAATACACTAACACAGAATGGCTCACGGTGCAGGGAAAACCAGACATAGACAAATTGCATGGCTGTGGGGCAGGAGGAAGAACTTGGCAGGCAAGATGTGCTGTGAGGAACTAACAAAGAAGGTGCTGTCTGGCCACACATCTGCAAGGAGACTCGCTCTCCTGGAACTCCAGGACAGTGGGGAGGTAGGACACTCAACAAAGAGCTCCGTCAGGTGAGAACACAGGGCACTTATCGATTAGTCAGCATCGGAGGAGAAAGGCTCCATTTTAGAGAAGGTCTGTGGAATGGACTGAAAACGCTGTTTCATCAGGAAAGGAGAGCAGTTAGGTGAGAAATTAGCGTCTTTGTAGTTGGGAGCGGGAGCAGTAAAAATCATCTTTGAAAGTGAAACAAAAGAAGAGGAATCACTGAGGAAGGAGAAAACACACGAAGAGGAACAGGGAGATGAGAAAGGGGAGGAGACAGAGCAGAGCCCGAGGGAGGGTCTGGAAGGGAGGGTAGAAGTGTCACAAACGCCACTAGGGAAAATCTTTCCAAGAGATACGCACAAGACAAAACAAGGCAGAGGAAGTTAGGACTGCAGACAAAAGACACTACCAGATTGCACGGCGGCAATCCAAAGCCATCCCCACGGTTGCTCACACGAATCACACCGCCAGTCACCACAGACGACCATCCCACACAATCAGACCCAAGGAATACGGAGAACGACACACTTCAAACTAAAACGCCCACAGTACCTGGCTATATATCGCTTCCCCATGTACTGGAACTGGTGCAAGCAGACTCTGCAGACAGGATGAAAAACCATCAGGGAAACATGAAGATAAAATTGTTTTCAATACATTGTTTTATTTATCCATTAACAATAATAAATTCAATAAACACCAATGTCTACTACTAGACCCTTACTTTTGGGTTTCATAAATTCTCTGGATGGTCCATTTAAACTCAGAGAAAATTAATAACCTGTAAGGGAAGCCCTGTATTGTGTGTCTATTAGCACTGTGGTGGCTGGCTGGAGCCGCACAGGACAAAGGCCCGTGAGTGACAGGACTGTCCATCGACTCAGGGTTGGGAGATTTACTCCAAGGCAGTTTGCCTTAGAAATCACACTGAAAACCATACACAGCGTTCCAAGTTGTTTATTCATCCGCATTCAAATCTATATAAAGAGCTCTCTCTTTTGGCTCAAGTGTACAGACTGATCCTCTATAGACATCAAGTGTATTTTTTTTGGTTTTTAAAAAATATATCCATAATATTGATTTTTTTTAAAAGTCATGTATTTACTTAGGTAACTAAAACGATGTCTATCGAGCTCCTCTGGTGCTGAATCTCATTTTGCCACATAACAACTCCCCCTTTAACTCTGAAGAGGTCATGAGACTATGATCCAAGACTATGAACCAAGTCCCCTGCTGGAGGGCCAGGCCCACAGTCTCTCCTATGATGCCAAAATGCACTAAGCTCTGGAAACTAGCTTTCTACCTGAGTTCGTCTAAATACGTTTGGCACCAAAACATGTCTTGAACTAATATACATAAAGCTACTTATAGTTGTCATTTATCTAATTATTTTGAATAATACCAGCACTGCAAAAGTAATTTTTTTACTACAGAAATAATGTGTTTAACTGTTGGGTGCTACCTGAGATGCTGATGGGATGTTGTGGGATATATTCTAAATGTAAATTTTTGAGAAATCCAAAAAATTCTGAATTTGGAAAATCAGCAGCAGTTTTGCATAAGGGATTGTTGATTCCTGTTTCTAAAAGTAAAGAGCTTAAAGGAAATTAGAGACTTACACTAAAGAGATAAAATGAGATAAAGATACTATATAAGATTTCACTTTTACTTATCATATATTTTAAAATTACAGCAATTTTTGTCTCAGTTCCTGGATCTGCTTAAGCTAGATTCAACTTAGAAAAGCAGCATCTACCCAATTCGACTAATAATTTTGTGTTATTTTGTTAAAATGGCTTACACACATAAGCAGTTACCTCTCACCTACAACAACCACATATCTGTAATAATTTAAGGTGGGCCACTGTTCCCTGGGTCATAAACCCAGAAAATAATGTGTTGGTGGGTCAGGTTCGGGAGAAAGGGCTTAAGGAGTGAGTATGTGACATATAGAACATTCCTGGTTCAACTACACAGTTTTCTTCACACCTCTTAACTATCCAGGAAAAATCAAGAGGCAATGAGCAAAGATAGAACTACTCACTCAGATATTGTAAAAAAATCCATAAGTTCAGATGTTGAAGCCTTGTTCCAATATGTAAACAAAGCATCTAGAAAATAAACATTTGGTCAGAATCATAATACATACACATCATGTACATTATAGAGATTCACCTATTATGAAAATGGGAAGAGACCTTAGAATATGGGCCTCCAAACCCTGCCCCCTTTTATAATTGATCAAAGGACAAAGCACAGTGACTCGTCTATACTGGACAGCATGTACAACAGGCTTATTCAATTTACAGATGCTACATTTGAACACTTGAACTTCAATTTCATCATATAGTATCCAGTGCTATATTCTACTCCAATGCCTATTTAAAACTTATACAGCATGTGCTCTTAAATAGACTAAGAAATTCAAAGATACAACAGGGCATATAATCTAAAGCTGGGCTCTCTTTTTCCTACTACAGAATCTCTTCCCAGCAGGGAATTTGTTGAAATTTTTTGCATAATACACACACTGTTTTGCCCTTTGAGTTTTAACTGAAAAAATATAGCTTGAATCTATCTCCAACTTTTCTCAGTTGCATAATGTTCCTCTCTATGGATGCACCATAATTGAGTTAGTCCCCTACTGATAGACATTTACTGTTCTTCTCCCCTAATCTTTTGCTATCATAATTGTGTTTCAGTGAATGTCCTTTTATTTGGGTCTTTGCATACATGTCTAACTACATCTGTAGGACAAATTCTTTGAAGTGAAATAGCTGTATCAAATAGTATGTGCGTTTAAATCTTTATGTATGAACCTTTAACAGTTTAGTATTACACAAAGAGTCCTATCATTTGATGGTTAACCCTTTTTGCATTCCTGTATTTTACACTGAGGTTGAGAAATAGGTTAAGAAGCTTCTCTCTGGGAAAAAGCCACTGATTCTCTGGGGCCTGAGCTGAGTAGAGAGGGTGGCTGCAGAGAAGCTGATGGCTTGTGGAGACACATGGCCATGGCCTTTTACTCTACACTTGTCAAGAACAACGACAGGCAGGGACAACATGGGATACATCTTGAGAATTTGTTATGTGCCAGGCACTGTACTAGGTGCTCTCACGATTCCATATAGAGTGTGCCATCTAATGCTCACCACAATCCGAGGCAGAAGAGAGTTCCCATTTACAGATGAGCTAATAGAAGCTCAGAGAAGTTAGGTAATTCTCCATTTACCAGCCTAAAGAATCATGGCTGTGTGGGGATTTAAATCAAGTGCCTATTAGACCAGTAACAAGGGTGGGTCAGGGAGCTTCCATCTTCAGGGGATTTTGAATTTAGACCCTAGAGGAACAAACTGGCTATTTCAGGCTGGCCATCCTGGTAAGGGGAGCACTCAGAGAGCCATGTGCACACTGGAAAGCCTCGTGGGATCCACCTGCAGGCACCTGTGGCCACCACCCCAGCACACGGCAGGCAGAATGGCCAGTGGCACGGCACTGACGCTGCCAGTCCTTGCTCTCAGCTCAGGATGCCGGTTGGGGAGAGTGGGCAGACAGACTGAAGCTCTGTAAAGAGGGAGGAGACACAAGAAGGCACAGAGAGGAAGGGCCCAGAGGGTGGATGGCACCCATAAATGTGGAATAAATGAAAGGAAAGAATAGATAGAGTTACACAACTGATTCTGTTTGTCTGTGTGGTAACTACCTCTGGAGGCAATTTTCTCCCTACCCTCTCCACACACAAAAATCAATTCTAGGTAGATTTTTAGATTTAAATGTGAAAATTTAAATAACACTGCTTTCAAAGAAATCATAGGAGAACATCTTCATGACCTTGGAGGTAGGAGAAGATTTCTTAAATGGAATGCACATTCACAAAAATTCTAATTATAAAGGAGAAAAATTGATAACTTGAAGGCAATTGGGAAAAAAAAGATATTCTAACATTGTTTTGAAGAGGCAATTGCACTTTTAAAATATATGTATGACTTCCCAAAGGGCTAACTTTAAAGGATAACATTCACTTGGATTCAAAAGTTCTTGTATACTTGACTTTAAAAAGTAGTTATGTTATATAGATCATACTCAATATTTGAAATTTAAAATATTTCAAAGAAAACTTCAAATGAAGAAAAAATAGGACTATAATGTTGGCTAAAACTCATTACCATGAAGCAAAGTTTAGAACTTTGGGCTTAAATGGGAAGAATTACAACATATAACCAAAATATCAAAATAATTGTCCTGTGCTCTTGTATTTTCATCACCATTCAAGGAAAATCTTGCTTGTCTGTCTTTTTTTAAACATCTATTTTAAAGTAAACAAATCAACAGAAAACTAAAATCACCCAGTCCTTAAGCATTTAAAGGACAGGCAGGTTATTCCTCCATCTGAGTTATAAAGTCAGGCACTAGTGCTGCTGAACTGGAAGCTTGACATAAAATAAACACTATTTCCCAGCAGAAACGCCTTCCACTGGATGTTTAATACACACCTACTCCCACCAGATGTAAGCAGCACAAGAGGCCTTAAAATTCTCAAAACATGGCATTCTGTTTTCAAAAGAGTTCATCTTAATTCAATGGCCTTAATGAAGTTCATAGCACACTTTATCTAATTTGTTGCAGGGAAAATGAGACAAGATTTTTCACCAAGATAAGAATTGTGACATTGTACCATGGGATTAGCTATATCACACAACTAGATACACAGATGAGCTAACAGATTAAACTGCCCAGTTAAACATGTTTACAGGCCAGGCCTAAAGTCGTCCAGATAGAGCATTCGTACTTCTGCTCACTCCAAACGCCACGGAAAAGTTTGGCTATGCTTTCAAAATGGGTTCAAGAAATAATGATTGATTTTAAATGACTTTAGTCATGAAGGTATTAAAGATTAGGAGTTATTTTTCTCTCAGGTATCCTCCCCAAACCGTGAGGGAAAACCACGCACAATTATCTCTCTTACCCTCGTCTGCCTCCATTCTGTGTGTGCTGCTACTACAGCGTGACGGTCTCACCAGGAATGAGAATAAGGAAGCTAAAAGCTGGTTTTCAAGAATTCTTTGAAAGATTGTTGAGACGTTTAGAGTTTTAGTACGCTTATTAAAACCCTTGGTGTGTCTTTAATTTTAAAGAAATGTCATAATTTTTAAGTATAGTTAGTAATATTAAGATAGTTAATCATTAGTGTACCAAGATTCTGTGAGCCAAGCAATTTTTTCTCAGTCCTCCATCATTTTATGAAACCTTTTATTTGTGAATACAAATATTTGTTTAAGACAAATATCTGAATAAAGCTATCCACCTAGCTTAAAAAAAAAAAGAACCAGCTCAGAAGCCAGTAAGTGACACAAAACCTTTCCAGATCTAGAAAAACTGAGCCTTTTATTTAAAACCCAGTGGACAAAAGGATGTGCTCACAAGTATGGCAGCTGGCTGGGCATGGTGGTAATCCTAGAACTCTGGGAGGCCGAGGCAGGAGTATTGCTTTAGCTCAGGGGTTTGAGACCAGCCTGAGCAACGAGCGAGACCCCGTCTCTACTAAAAATAGAAAATTAGCTGGGCATGGTGGTGC